CGGCGATTTTTAAGCCCGGCAAATACATCTACAGCTTTTTCCAAATCGATAATATAATTACACGAAAGTGCGTGCATATGATTTCACATTTTCGAGCGATGAAAAAACCTTCCATTTTACGCTATTTCAATGGATACAATTTTTATTATTGAAATGATTTTCAATGTTTCCCTAAACACGGCCGTTAATCGTTCAACAGCGAAGTCATCCAACTATTGACCGCGTGGTCCCTTATCTATACCTGTACTCTGTTGGTGTCGGGTTTGTCTGGTGGATTATACAATTCACGATACATTTATCGTTTACTCAATTACTTGAGCGGGCGATATTTTTTTATCGACATTAAAATACCAATATATGGTTAACACGAAAGGCAATTAAATTTGAATTACACAAAAAAATGGTGCGTTATTTCAGCGGGCCGATTGGGTCTATTTAAAAGTGAGGGGCGCAACCGCACATACCGCCCCCCTCCCCCCAAAATGACAGTTCTGTTTTAAATATTCGGTCTCAATAAACCCCACGCGAGAGAGCTGAAACGGCATGTTGCCCCCCCCCCAATAATCAGGCACGAACGCAGGGGGCTGTATTGAGTGGTCAAACAACCCTCCCCCCCAGGAATTTTTGGGTTTTTTTCGTACAGTTATTCCATTTTAATGTTGTATTATACTTTGATGGGCAGAAATTGCATTGTGTTTGTAGAACACCGGATAAAGCAAAATAAATATTTAACACCAATAATAACAGTTAACAAAAATAATAGTTTTAATTGATAAAAACACGTTCCGAAACATTTTTCCGCAAACGTCCCTGCAGCTTAAACCGGGCCAAACATACACGAAATGACAAAACGGACATTTTTGTTCAACAGATAGATATTACAATATTGTTTGCCGAATCAACGTAACGCGGGCGAATTATAATATTATATGAAACAAAATCGAATAACAGACAACATTTTTACTAATTGGTGGAAAATATTCGGATTAGTCGATAATTTCGAAAATCGGGATTTTCGGATTCCAAAATCTGAAAATTTATCTTAAACGCGTTTTTTTTTTTTTTTTAAATATAGAGAACAGGTACAATAATATAATAGTGTGTCAAAACTCGAATTTTTAAATCCCGAATTGACATTTTGAAATTATATACGAAATCCGGACTTTTTGATTTTCCGGATTTATATCACATTATTATAAAAATCAAATAATGCTTTATAGACGAAAAAAGTTTTTTTGGTGAAGTTGATCACATGGACTGTGTTATATCCAATTTCCAAATTCCATGTCCCCCCCCCTAAAATATAATTAGTCCGACGTAATCTAAATCGAATAAGCTACTCGCTCTGTTATTGAAAACAAGTATTACTCGTTTAGTGTTCTTCTCGTGTAGATGGCGTTTAATCCACAATAATTTCAATAATCATTTAAACATTTAAAAAATATAGGTGTAACATATTAGTTTTTAGTTATTACATTCAATACGATTAAATGATATTTTTGTTTTTTTAATTTTTTTTTATGGTTTAACATAAAATTTATTATTTATAAAAGTCAATTTTTTTTTAAAAAATATAAATTATGAATAAACCATTTTTGAATTCATTAATTTTCAAAGTTGTTAAAATTGGTTGAACTGAGTAGGTAGGTTAGGGTGGTCCTTATTATTTTTTTTAAAAATTTGATCGGGCTACCCATGGAATTTGTTTGAAACCATAAAAAAATGAATTGTGTAAAGTTTCGTAGTAATTGTTCAACTCTAAGGCGTGCCTCAAAAGGGTTGAAGTTCAATGGAGGGTGATTTTCCGATTTTTATAATTTTAGTCTAAAATGTTACTTGTACTTTTTTATTCACCCCCCCCTAAAAAAAAAATAAAACTAGTTTTTAGTATTAAATAACTAATAAATATAATATGCCGTATTGCGTACCTATATTTTATATATTATGTTATACATATGTAATTCAAATTAAACACAAATAATATTTAAATAATAATATACATAAATGACATAATTAAATATCTAGAAATTATTATTTAATAATTTTTTAGTGTATTAATAATAACTGAAAAACGTTTTCAGCCTGCTCTTCTCCTGTACCAGCTGATAGCTGTGGAACCCCTAAAAGTTATTCGCGCCCTTTACATGAAATTAGTACTGGCAGTCTTTCCACTAAATCTTTACCGGTTAACGAAGGTAACATTTTTTCATCCCAATGTACAACGGATTCTTTAAATAAATCATTATTAAAACTCAAGCGTAGTTGTTCTGCTCGCAGTTTTCGAACTTTTTTCACGAACTCGGCGAATCGACGAACGATTTATTACCAAATTATCAACATTATGTCCTAATGCCTGAGCCGTGGCAATTATAATATGAGTTGCATTTCTGTCACTTACCTTGCATCTATCTAAAACAGTTACAAGTTTATCGTTGATGAATGCTGTTCTTCCTCGTCTAGTAGTTGAAGGGCCGGCAGAATCTTCACAGCTTTCCACAGTAATAGTTTTTGATATTATCTTGTATGTTTCGGGCTAAATCACAATCATCAGACAAACTTTCTTCTGTATCACTCGAAGAACATAATTCCACAGATTCAACTAAAAGTTANGCTCCTGGACGACCTTTTTGTCTCTGAGTAATTAAAAACTGTTTGTCTATGTCAATAGTCATTATATCCAATGCATCTGCATGGGCAATGTCGAATAGTTCGTCAAAACATTGTACAAACTCATTTTCATTTTTAATTTGAGTATTTGTTCTCCGACTTGAATTTTTCTGCAAACTTCGCCATGTATTGTACAACTCTTCCAACATCGGTACGCAATTACGAACTTCCCTAGTAGGTATTCGGGCTTTTTGCCAAAATATTAACGTTTCGTCAATCACTAACCGCGCACTTTCACGTAAACTTAACTTGACTTATCGAATATTAAAAAATATGACCGATAAAACTTGTTTGTTTGATGGCAACTTGCATCCAACCGGCTGATGAGAACAAGTACCAATTAAATAAATACGTTTACGTATACTGATTTTACTGTCCGTTTTTAAAATCAAAAAGTCTGTTCGTCGACGGTGCGTGGACAATTATAAACTGAGCTGTGCCGACAATGTTCGAATTAATATAAACAATAAATAATACGTCTAAAACCGAGTGAATAACAAACCTGTAGAGACGTGTTTGACATTTGAAGACTACGTGTTGTCACAGGACCTAGTCAACGTCGCAAAAACGTGAGTAGGTATCATGTCTGCGCTAATTTAGGCAGAACGTGTTAGGACATGTATAGTATTGCACAGCTTTCCATTTGTATGAAACGTGCGTTTTAACCATTCTATTAGTGGACTATTTAATAGCTACTATAATGTTGTTTGTGCAGTTATGTTGTAAATTTTCTTAGTACAAAGTATATTATATTGTACAAGCTATTACCACGTAAAATATACTAAAAATTAGTTTTTGTTATTTTGTAGGCGAATGAGTTGTTAAATGAAAAATGTACAAATAACATTTTTTTGTAGGATAAACAATTTAAAAAATATATTGTTCTTACACTTTTTAGTCCGTGTTAAAAATTTTAGACTAAAATTACAAAAATCTAAAAATCACCCTTATTTGAACTTCAACCCTCTTAAGGCGTGTCTTAAGGTTTACCGATTATTACGAAACTTTACAAAATACATTTTTTTGTGGGTTTGAACAAATTTTAGTGGTAGCCCAATCAAAAATCGAAAAAAAATTTTCTTCATCTATAGTCTAAGGACCACCCTAAGGTAGGTGTTAATTTAATAGAGAATTTGTTTTTTCTTATTTTTAATATTTAAAATTTTTTTTCAGCATAATTATACATTTAATAACTTGAAAATTAGAGTATTATATTAATGATACAAGGGTAACATTTAATATGTTGAACTATATTATTTATTTCCTTTTTTTACGACATAATTTATGGACAAAGATAATTTAATAAAAAGGGGTGAAGGAAAATTAAAAATTTATTAGTAAATTTAAATATCAATTTTTAATTGAGTTTAACTTGATAGCTACATCAAAGGTAATAAATGTAATCTCCACATTGAATTTGTAAGCTCCTCTATATTATTTTCTATAATATTGTAAATTCAAATGTATTGATGCTAAATATTCACTATTTATTTTGATAAATCAAGATAACTAACATTCTTAACAATGTAGGTAGGTAGGTAAGTAATCAATGGTTATCAATTAGAGATGATGTCTATTATCTACTTACATATTAAATGGCTTTTTCACCAATTTTGGTATTTTGAATTGATAGATAATTCCAGTGAAATCTTTATTATTTTTTTTTTTTTTTTTTAGTAAAACTTAAAATAATTAAAAATTACAATTTTGATGTTCTAAAATTTAGATTTTTTTTTTTGTATATAAAATTTATTATTATGGTTATTATTATTTTATTGTATATTCTGTCCTAAAAGAGAGCAGACCAGTAGACAAGTTTAAAATGTAAACTTTCATAGCAGATATCCCACTTATGCTGTCAGATACTCAGATTATGACCCACTTTTCAAGTCTATACATTTACACTATTTTATCTACATTACTGCGTTCTAATTCTATTGACTATTAATAAAATCACTATTTTCATTAAAATTAAAAAAAATGCATAACTATGCGAAAATTTGTTAGTAAGTAGGTACACCTAAGTAAATGGATTTTAAGATTATTATAAAAATAAATTATCAAAATGAAATTTCAAAAATATACTATTAAAGCTAACCATGCACATAAATGCAATGTGTAGGTATTTATGTGTTTGTAATAAATGATTTATTCCTTACTGGAATATAATTTCTATAATTCTTAGCTAGGTATGTTTTGTATGATTATTGAAAAACACGCAAACTCCTATAAGACCCTAGAATAAAATATAAAAACATATTAATATTATTTATTAATCAACAACATAATTAGAAATTGTACATTGAATTTTATCATTTATTGTAAATAAAATCCGTAAATAATGAATTATATGGTACATTGGTACCTATACTTAACTATTTTGAATGGAATAAAGAAATGAAATAAAACAGATATTATATATTTTATATATTATTTTATTTCCAAAGTAAAAAAAAAAAAAAAAAAATATATATTTATATATTTATATAATTTAATTTTTGTTTCACTGGAGGGATGTCCATGTCTTTATAATTTAACAAAACTGATGTAATTTTACTTAAAGCTATATAAAAATCTATCAACTATCTATAAAATGTTTTACATCACTCCAATTTAATATGGAATTATAATCTTATATACAATGTACAGGATAAAAATGTAGGTTAAAAAAATTAATTTAAAAAAAAATTTAACAGATAGTTTTTGCCAATTATAATTGACTATAGTCATACGCATACTTTTGGATACAATATAATGTATATCACAGAATGTAGAATAAAATGCAAGAAATAGTAACCTTTTACTCAAATATATTAACAAAATAAATAACATCAAAAGCACAAAATTGTTTAAATTTCAACTAAATTATTTTTGACGTGTAACGTTTAGTACTCTGTCTCTGCTATGTTCCCTGGCTGGAGGGGAATGTCTAGATTTTCTACTACGTTTGATTTTCGCCATACTGTCTTCTCCAAAAACGTCTCCTGTTCTTAAAGCTGAAATGAGATCATCAAATTCTGCTTTATCACCAGCTGTACCATTTATAGACACTTGGTTTGTAGCTCGACGACTACCAGATCCATTAGATACAACGCTGGACCCATCTTTACAATTTTTCCGATCAAGAGTGAATTTCTTTAACTATTAGCAAAAAAAAAATTGAATTTATTTCAATAAGTCGGGTATTATTTTATATTCTATAAAAATTAATAAAATACGAACATCGACTTCCTGTCGTATCCTTTTTTCTTCTTCTTCACGTCTCTTTTTGACACTTATATTATCTTGACGAGCTTCAGAAAGAGCTGTTAAAAATGAATCAAAAACTGCAAAGAAATCGTCTGGTTGTATTGTAGAATTGTCTTCTCCAAATAGTCTTACAGCTCTATCAAACTATAAATAATAAAACCATATAAAATAATTTCAAAACCACAAAAAAAAAAAATTCATTTTAAACAAGTATTTACCCTAGTTTTCATGTCTTGGAACAAGTCTTCTAATTCAGAAAATTTACAAGTAGCAGCTGTTAAAAATTCTTTCATTACTGGCAGAAACATGTCACCCGGTACAGCAGGTTGTACTCTTTGGAACTCAATTTCTCGTTCTACTTCTTTTAAATTGTTTCTTAATTGTGACATGTCTTTTTCAAGTTCAGCCAAACTGACTTTTGAAGCGCTCCTTACATGAGGGATGTCTTCTTCTAATAATAAAACATCCTTGAACTATTTAAACAAATAATAATAAAAATATTAATATATACAAATTGATTAGACCAAAAATAAAAACCTTACCTTCTTATCGGCCATATCAACAATGAAATGTAATAATGTTGTTCCTCGTACAGAACTAGACTTGGTGTCTGAGAGTCTGTTTAAAGATGACAAACGGAAACCCCATGCATTCCCTCTTGCTCCTTTGTTCATATAATTTCCAAGAGCTAATACAATTTCTAATAATTTTTTTAAACGTCTGGAACGAGCTACTTCACGTGACGCTTCCATAACAACTTTTGTTCTGCCTTCAACTTCACTTGTCCAAGTAACAAATTTCTTTTTATATACTAGACTACGAAGACGTTGTTCGTAATGTGCAATTCTAAAAAAAAATTTAAAATAAATTTCAATATTTGTATTCAAAATAAAAACAAAAATGTTATATTTACTAACTTGGAAATTTCATATAAAAATCGATCAGCTCTGGCAAGACTGTCTAAATCATAACTGTGTTCTTCTAACAAAGCAGCTTCATCTGGACCAGGTGTAAATTTTAAAAGTTGCTCTACCATGTCTAATGGTAGCACATCTTTGGTATCCATATCCAGAATGACTTGAGCTATTCCTTCGTCAGACATTTTTAATTTAGACAACAATATTGTACAATTTTGTGCCCTCCGGCCATCAATAACTGATAGAACTTTGGATTTATTTTTTCCAGTTTGTCTCAAATCTTCTGATGATCCTTCATTCTGTAGTCAATATATATAGGTACATTAAATTAGTTTATATTTTGATAATTTATATTTTATTACAATTTTTACTTACAGTTGTACCGTTTATTTTTTGATTTTGATATGCACAGAAAAGTTTATCAACAGTTTCTAAGTCAATTGTTGAATACATTTTCCCTTCATCCATGTCAGCCCACACAGTTCCAGCCACTTTAGTTTCTGGCAGCTTAGCCCAGTTAAAGGATTTGAGTGGAGCCGAAGGTTTAGGTATTTCCACAGATCTTTGTTTACTGACTAACAGTGGAAGGCAACCAGGAGGAGGTGGAAGGTTTGAATGAGGGATTTGCAGTGGAGGTGCTGGTGGAGGTATAGGACAACGAGTTGTAGTTATGGTCTGAACAGGTGGTGGGGGTGGAATAGGTGTTGGAGCAGAAAAATTAACTTTAGCATCATCTGGTAAACTCTCATTATTTAGCATTGCTTCTAATTTTCTTCTCTCTGCTTGCTCATAAGATATTCTATCTTTTAGTTCACTTGTAGTATCTTCGAGTTCAGACACTTTTTGTTTAGTTTCCAAGTGAATAGACATTTCTTTCTCTAGGCGTTCTTTATACCTTGCAATACTGGCTTCCATATCTTCCTAAAATAAATATTGTAATATTGAGAAATAAAGTTAAAATCAAAAAAAACTTTCTTTTTTTTACTTTTTCCTGATTTCTTAAGTCTAGTTCTTGTTCTTTTTTAGCAAGCAAAGCAGAAACACTACTATTTTCTTTTTCAAGTATTTCTGCTTTATTTCTTGCAGCAATGAGTTCTTCTTCTTTAGCTAAGCTGTAACATATTACAATTTACTAGCTACTATATAATATATAGATTATAGGTATATAATATTTATATAACAATTTATCATAATATATCTGTATGCTTCTCTAATTACTTACTGTTGAACAATTTCTTTAACATTTATACTTATTGGTGTAACATCATTGTCAGTACCAGAATCAGTTTGAAGAGTTATCTGCTGAACTATTCTATCAAATAAAAGCCAATGCTGTGGAAGACTTCCATATTCAACTGTAATATATATATTATTAATATTATAATAAAACAGTCAGCCATATTTAATTGAAATTACTTACGAGGTAACAACAAGAAATGCTGGAAAAGTGAAAGGAAATGAGGATATGCTGGAGAATGGCTTAATTTTCTACGAATTAAATCGAACATAGAAGTAGCACTTTGAGTATCAACTTGCTCCTATAATTAAAATAATTTTTCGGTTAAATACAATAATATGCTTTTAAAATAAACTGACAAACCTGTTCAAATTTTCTTGCTAGTTCTTTTTCGTCTTCATTACGAACCATATCGAAGAAATCCATATGCCGATCTAATGTCTGATTCTCGTGTTCTCTTAATTTAATAATAATATTTTTCAAGCCTAACTGTAAGAACTCGTATCTTAAATGTAATCGAAATTCCAAACTTTCTTGGCCAGGTCCATAACTCAAGACTGCATTTACAAACGACATAATAGCCGTTTTAACAGTCAAATCATCTCTATATATTCCAGTATTTCGATCTAAATCATTAATAATGCCTTGGAATCTGGCTCGTTCATGTGCAAACTCCTTATAGTCGGTCATGGCGTTCAGAACTTTCTTATGACCTCCTGGAACTAAGCAGGAAGCGCCAAGAATTTCCAAGACAGCGACTTTTGTTCGAGGGTTTTCAGTCAATAAACTTCTAGCAATAGTGCTAATAGCTGTTGGATGTGCCAGTACGTGAGATCTTCCAGTCTATAATTATCATACAAATGCATTTAATAATTGTTATGTAGAATAATAATAATATATTATGTTATTTACATTAGGTATATGACAGCAATAATTTAAATATACAAAAAAAAAAAGATAACTACTTAGCACGAATAAAAATATATTTTACAATATTATTTATTTTAACTATTTGTTTATAATTTGTTTGTAACCTAAGAAATAATCTAAATGAATACAATTTTTTAATATTTTAATTATTATATTTAAATTATTCAATTTATTTGGTTCATAAAATAAAACCAAAATTAAACAAAGTTTGAATATTTTGCAAATTCTAATTTGTTATATACAAGTTGAGTTAACACTTTTCAATGTAAACAACAGGAATATAAAATGAAAAAATAATGTGCCAATGAAAATTAATTCATCTTTTGAAAAAACTGACAAATTCCGAAATGGAAAACTTTGAAACTATAAAAGTATCATTTTCAGACTGCACACATTTTATATATTTTAATATTATGAGCTATAAAATAAAATATTCAAAATTTGAAATTTATTTATGAGATTATTCAATAATAAAAATGTGTTAAATATACAGAGGAATAGAAATTAAAATATGACGACAGTTAAATCTTTTTTTTAAACATATATATTGCAAACTAACTATGGGTTAAACTAAGAAAATAATACAGGGAAAATACCTAAGTCCAAGTTTGTTTTTTATATAAATGCAATTAAAAATGCTTACAGAATTATTCATAAGGGCTTTAATGCATCCAATTATTGATGTGTGCATAGCTCCTTGTTGAGTATCATAATCCATTGAAGACAAAACCTTTAATAAAGTTACTAGCCCATCAGCTTGAACGAATCGTAAGACAAAGCTGTGGGGTTGGGTTCGAAGAGCAGTCTTTAGGGAATCAAATAACTTAGTGTTCTCTTGTTCGTCACCATTCAAATTTTCTATACGATCAATGTAATTTTCGGGCGATTGTGATAAATCACTTGTGTTCTCTTGATCCTAAAAATAAAATATTTTAAAATTATAATATTTTAAAAAAAAAAAAAAATATTAATTTTTACCTCCAAAACTTTTTTTTTACTGCAATAAATTTGCCATTTCTTTTCTTCGGGGAGTTCCAACATCGCTGCTTTGTTTGGAGCGGTCAAGTCAAGTTCTTCCTATATATTAAAAAATATGTTACTACATGTGCTGATAAACATTAACGGTAAAAATTTTAGAGATTTGAACTTCAGTGTGTCAGTGTTTTCTACTAACTTTAAGTATGATTTCCATTTCTCTAAATTCGTAATTTAGATTTATATGGTCTATACACAATAAGTACCTAAAGAACCCAGTCAAACTATTTATTTACAATTAAGTTTAAATTTTTTTTTTTTCCTTCCAAATAATATTTAAAAAAAAAAACATGGGGGGGGGGGCTATGTCCCCATACTCTTCCTCTAATCCATACTCCGTGATTATAATAGTTGTACACATAAGACTATAAAAACAGACTGAACGGTGACATTACACTAGAAGAAATCACGCGCCTTTAAAATAAAATATTTTTTTAAACATGAATTACGCATACCGTCAATTAACTACAAAGAGCAAAAATCGACAATCCAAATAATCAATGCTAGAATACAGACGGGAATTTAATGTATATCCGTAAGCAACGTTAATAATAACAATAAATAAATAAAAACGGTTGCATACCTTATTTTTAACCTTTCAATCATTTTTAACCTAAAGACCGAATTTCGTCATTATCTCGAATAGTAGGGAGAATTTAAAAAAATAATTCCTCTAAAGTATCACCCAGAGAACATTTCCTATTAGAAAAGGTGCTATACTTGATTATCGGAGTATATTTTCCGGTAGAAAAAATGTTCATATGAAAAAAAAAATAAAAAAATAAACACCATTGTAAAACCAATACATTCCTCGCTCCACTCAAAATCTAAAATAATAATAATAATAATGTATCATGACGATTTTTGTTTACAATAATTATGATTCGCGTACATGCGTTTAGTTTCTAAAAATTATAATTTATTATTCTCATAGTACTAAAGATTAACTTTTGATCTGGGGCGACTTGACAGTTGACAAAAATGACGGGGAACTAAGACCCTCAAGCTCCCCCTCCCCTGTTTACGACTATGATTCAGACTTTTATACTAAACCATAATCTTGTTTTTTCTTTATAGTATTCATAACTTCCTCGTTTGTTATACGTTCTAACCATTTAATTTTAAGCACTTTTCAATAACGTAACATTTCAAAAGCATCTACTTTTTTTTCTCTTCTGTAGCGATCGTTTAAAATTTCACCGCCATACAAAGTCACACTTCATACATACACATTCAGAAAAGTTTTTCTTCATCAGTAAAGTCATGTCACGTCACAGAAATATTATTTTATAGAATTTAATAACATACACTTCGAGTAAATATCACGGGTGGTGCTGGCTACTCGTATATTATTTATATAAGTTCTATACTTGTATTTAGGAAGGTGGCGACTGGGACATTTACCCCGGGTAGCCCAATTTCGATACATCTATGTATAGCCAGCCGGGCTGGGGCCCGGTGTAATATTGTAATAATTTTATTATTAAGTTATGTTCTTATCGATTCTAACAGTAAATAAATAATAAAATTATCAATATTATTTTCTGTATAATTAAAAAATTAAAAAATACCAGGATATAATTTCTTTTTTTTTTTTTTTTTTTTAGGAGGAGGGGAGAGGTCGAATGTGTACAAATAAGGTTGATCCGGGGCGGAAAAACGGTCCTGCGCGCAGTCGTACCGGTCAAGTGAACTCGGATGGATCGAGAAAACACCGCGGGAACGACAGAAAAAAATTTAAAAATATTTACGTGACATTTTATCATGTAACCGCGTATCGGCCTGAGAAAAAAAAAAACCAATCGGTTTTTCGGCCCCGCTAAAACTGTAGGCGTGTAATATCAGTCGGGAATGCGCTCGAAATACTCGGTATCCGTGTACAGATAAGAACATCACTCGCCGGACGCGACAATGCGAGTCGAATGCGATCGATGATATCTGTGGATGCTACGCGTCGTTACGTAAGTGAAAAACTCCCGTCGCGTAATCGCGGTCTACGGGCGATTTTCCACGCACGCCCCGAAACGAAAACAATAATATAATAACGCCCGTTAATAATAATACGACACAGAGACAAATCGCACCGGTGAACAATGTAGAATAAAAAAAAAAAAACGATTTATGAAAAACCCGTGACACTTACGACCAGCTCGGCAAACAGCCGGTCCAGCTCCGGTTTTTCGGGCATGGGCAGGGTGGGCGTCATTGTCTGCAGCGTTAGGGTGCCCAGATTGTCGACCACGCAGTACGTGATTTCTGGCGGTTCGTCGTCCTGAAAGTAAAACAAAAAATAAATATGTAATACAATACAATAAGAAATACGCGATCGTGAAAATATCGATACGGACAACAGCTTTGATAATCGTACAGTAAGAAGGGCAAAACAATGACAGTAATATTTATCTCTTTCTTTTCTGTTACGGTCCACGAAAGACCACCAAGTGCGCGTCGTCTCCATGATACTCGCTATCCTAACCCCTTGCGCACACACGCAATATTACATTCAAACCCTCCTCGGTTCTATCCATCAATGGCGGTATTTTAAGTCGAACAAAATCTGTAGGGGCGGAGGGGTGATCAATCATCGATAAGACATTCATTACCACGAAAAATATTCACTTTTTTTTTTTGACAATTTAGAAAACAAGCCACTTTAAAATGTTACAATACCGATATTTTTTGCCACCTTTGTTTTTTGTGAGTGAAACCTGCATTATACCCACTCTCGTTTTTTAAACAGCAACCTACATTGAAATTCCATAGATAGATATATTCTTAGTGTTGAAATTTTCAAATTTAAATCACATGCTTCGAGTCTCCATACAAATGATGCTCTACAACTCTCTACCCTATCTTGAAAGTGGAATATCTCATCAACGGATCGACGGAAATTGAAAATGTCAACATCAAAATGTACCTATATAAGAAAACTTTATAGTTTTAGTTTATAAACTAAAACTTCGCCTATTTATAGAATTTTTAATATAGGTTGCTATTTGAAAATCAAAAACGGATAGTGGTTTCCCCTCTCCTCTCTAAGAAAAAATTATAGTTGATAAAAATAACGGCAATGTAAAACGTTAAGAGCTTCATATTGCATAAATAGCTTAAACAAAAATGTCGAAACACCTACTTTCCGAGATAATAAGTGTCTTATTTAAGATTGATGATCGTGTATATACACCATTTGTATAAAACCGATGCTTCGTTTATGTGCGATTATGAGCTCAAGTATTCCGGTCGCGGAATTAAAAGTTTTTAACATTCTACCGTATCAAATGTGTACGTATAAAAATCGTATGCATATAGAAGACGATTCGTCTCTCCCTTCTCCAAAGCCGTCATTGTTGACGCGTATTTCGACACGTCAGTCTACATTTTCAGGCAAATATAATGGTTATAATTGCACAAAAACATTTTGAACATTTTTGTTTTAAATAGTAGGTATCTATAATAATGCATTATTATTAACTTATCGACAGTATAAAATCGAAAAAAAAAAATGAGTTCATATTTTATTGAAACACGAGTAGTATTACGCAACAATACGATACGCGTAATATAATTTACCTATAAGGAATCTATTCAGAGGGCCAACAAAAGTAAAAATGAAAATAACAACTCTTCGGGCGCATCGGTAATTTCACGTCGCGTAATGGACGTGCGCGTTTTTTACCGGGACGGCGGGGGAGGATGGGCGAGGTGTTCCGACACGATATATCTAAAAGGACGTTTGATGATAAAAAAAAAAAAAAAATATATATTTATCGTCCTTTGGTCATTTACTACTGTCAGACGGACGGACAGACACATAGACGTATGTATACAGACAGACGGATACAAAATATATAATCCTATATTATCCAATTTAATTAAAGCGCCTTGTACGTGATGATGTATTACACAGGCGGGTATAGAAAAATTAAGAACCAAAACGTCGGCCTCCGCCGCCGCCGCCGAGGCGACGAGTTCTTCTTTCTACACACTTTCTAATTTTTCACGTGTGTAATCCTTTTATACACTTTTCATCGTCAATAACGATCTTGAAATACGACGATAGTTACGCAACGTCGTACATGAACTTGATCGATGTTTTTCTCATTGTACCCCACACCGTCGCGAGTGTATAAAGCGAGAAATAAATAATGTATAATAATAATATTATAATACGATTTCAATAAATAATAAAAAAAAAAAAAATGAAAAACCCATCATCATTATCGGAGGCAATTTGTAGAAACCAGTCCGAACGTGCACACAACGAACGCCCGTGATAATATATTATGTTTTATTGGGCGGGTGTTTTTTTTTTCTTTCGGACGGACCGTGTCTTTAATGGATAATCGCATGGACGTTGTTTCGTTACGATTAAAGAGGCGTGGGAGGGGAAGGGGTGTATATGGCGACGGTGTTTATTTTAGTCGATTTAAAAACCTCATGTTCGACGAATTTCAAATTTACATATGAATTACGACTGCTGGTGTTATCTCTACAATATATAAGTGGGACAAGTGGGAAATTATGGGGGACTTTTAATTATTTCACTAGAAATCGTAAAAATATTTTCAAAAATGTACTTAAGAATTATGATTTTCATTTGTGGTGAAGGTGATTGCAATTTTAAAAAAATAATCGCAACGTATCCTAAAGAATTATAATACGATTTTAAAATCCGTCAAAAGCAATCCATACGGTGTTGTCTGGCTTTCGGTCTAAAATAGTAAATTGTCATAAATTGTGCAGAATTGAAAAGATTTGGAAAAACAGTCATCAATCGGCCCCTAATAAGCCGCCGATTTCTCTCGAGTCGGCACTGGCACATTAAACTAGGAGAATACGATTATATAATATCAAAAATAAACTGATATACTTCGCATGATGGATGGGCCACTGTTATGGGTGAGAAGTTGGGAAGGTAGAGAGGAAATCCAATGTATATCTGTACGCAACAATGAATCATTGCTAACGCAAAACAATTCTGAGCGGAATTCGGTTATACGTGTTATGAAATATTGTAATATTTACGATTCGAAAATAATATATTTCGTACATTTTTCCGTTTTTCCTATGTTTTTCCCCATTTATAATGAAAACACCGAAAAAAATCGAAAAATTATCTCCTTAAAGTACGGTCCAGGTGAAATTCCTACTGTTGAGAAAATTAAGAAAACGCTCTGCGCTTAAAAACCGGAACAAAACCTCCGGTCGATAAGTCGTTGGCAGGAAAAAAAAATAAACATCATTGTAAAACCGATACATTACTCGAGCCGCTCAGAATGTAAAATCGCTGAGAATTTGCTGGTTCCGTTGGGGCCCGTAAACCGACAAACACCTTAAGGCGATCCACATATTATTATCGTCGGGCACCGCGATGGTTCGAACGCGAGCCTTTTAGGTCGTTTTCTCGGGCGAACCGCCGGGCGACGTGGTGTAAATTTAATGGGTTTTTTTAACGTCACCGTCGGCATCCCTACAACTATTTGTATGGGTACTGCACGCGGTCGGCATGATGACTCATGCCCGGAGAAAGCACAACAACGGTATTAAAAAAACGCACGCGGTCCGCCGTCTCGTCGATTAATTTCAACAAATTTTACACGTACGCGTAGCCCGGGGCGGCCAATTACAACGGACGAAAACAAGGGAACGTCGTCGGGAGCGCTTGGGCTAGGTCAGCTCGTCAATATCGCATTTCAGAATTCCACTTTCAGCACAATGGGTTGTCCCGCAGCCGACGTGGTATTACGCGATACGCGCCTGTATACACCTGAAGTCGTCGTCGGACCCGTGTACATTTATATACGTACAAGTGCGCGTATGGGTAATAATATTACACCTACGTGTAACAATCTTATTTTCAGATCGACAGGCCGTAATTTTGACAAATTAATAATATCATTTCTGGCGGGCGCGCGATATCGTTCGGGGCACCGCGGGTCGAATGACCCGACGACGACGGCGCGCGACTAGATGACCGGAAACCTACGGAAATACGTTAACGATGACGATAGGCGGGGAGGGTAAACAATAGACGAAAAAACATTTTTTTTTTTTTTTTACCGATAGAAATTTCATAAGCCTCCGGTGAGTTCGCGCCGGACCCAATACATTGACTAATAGCGTAATTTCGGATTTCAAACGTAACGCGTACATTATTATCATTAGCCCTACAATGACAACTCGAAACGTAAACATCAGAGTAGATGTAACGGTAATATAACCGCAATAATAGCGAGTAGCACGAATTTAATGATATAATATCTATATCGGACACTCGAACACTGAAATCGACGTTTGCGACAATTCGCTCATATTAAGATAATAGATTCACGGTTCTAATAAATTACCGTCGTTTGTAATATCGATTGTACTCGGTCTTAAAACGGCGACTCTCGGATTGTCTCGCAAATTTTGGTAAGTGACCTTTTTTTCCCCTCAAATCGCCTCCTGACGTTTTCGAAGGCAATTCGAGTATACGCAAACGGTCTACTATCCTATAGCATACCTAGATTATTAATTAACGTATCGGTAATTGTACCTGTACTAATGATTATTATATCAATGTTCAAAAATATTATCTTTAAGACATACACCTATCGTATTTCCGTACATTTTCACATTTCATCTAAATTATTTTACGTATTGACTATTTTTTTTATTAATATGATTACTATTTATTTTTTTATTATTATTAATTATTACTGTTGTAACGATCTATTTACTGAAATATTTATAATTATGATGTAGAAACTAAAAATGTTAACTGTATATCATATAACTGATTTATGTATTATTATTTATTAACTTTAATTAACATTAAATCAAGCAACTTTGATTTTGTATTTAATTTATTAATATTTCCTATAATGTAAATTTAGAAATCAATTAATTATAACTATCGGAGACGATTCGAGTACAAGAGGGTCACTACCTAAAATAGGACAAGGCATTTCAAGTGAATGATATTTTTAAAATCAGGAAACAATTCGAGTAACCTTTTTAAAAAAAAAATTTCACGGGAGGCGATTCCGAGGGTCAGATCGGAGACAGATCATGAGTGCCCCTTAAAATATCTTTTAAATACGTACTTGTTTAACGAGAATCTCGAAAAATGTTTTGAAAATTTGCCATAATCCCATGACTGTTGTAATACTCCGTAGTCACACTACTCAATTAAGGCTAATTTAATGATTTTTTATTTTATTATTATACTATCGTAAACGGGTTAAAACTAATCGGATTAATCGTCTATCTTCATTGGTTTGATAAATGATTGATAATAATGCAAATAAACAAGTTAATAAAATCCGTGATGCTATTTGTTTCTATCGCAACGAATTGATGATAATGTTGTTTAAATGTAACCATAGTTTTATCCGTACCATTGGCGCAAATAAGAAGGGGCACAAATCAAATAAATACTAAGGATTCATAATCAATATTTTAAGGAGGCTAAATCAACCTTTCTCCGCCTATAGACAAAATTTGGGCTTTTTGTGACTATGGTTAGTTTTTTACAATTTTCTGGTCCCATAATATTAATAGGCAAAGGCAATTGCAAAAGAAAAAATGAAATTGATACGTGGAATGCATGCTGTTCAATAATGTTCTTATTTAGACATTCGGATAGTATTAGTCGCGAAAATCATAAACTCGCCCAAACAGTATCAATACGAGCTCAGCATTACCAATCAAAATATATTAATTTCTCTTGGTATATTAAAAAAACATTAATACGATTATTGCTTTAATGAAAAGCATATTATGGTAGAGAGATAGTTATAGAGCATTAAAATCTTAAACGAGCGGAATTACGACCTTCATATACTCGTTCACATTGTATGTTAAGCTCAAACGAGTATTTTGTTTTAAACTATTATTATCTGCACAAAAGTAAAGGAACGAAAATATTATATATCTGCATATATGAATAAAGATATATAAAAAAAATTACAAATTCTCATAAAAATAGATAAAAAATATATTTTATTTTTCGACTAAATTCTAGATAAAATCACATTTTATATGTCAAACACTTGAAACAATAATATGAGATAATTTAAGTAGATTATTTAATACTATTTTTAGGGTTACCTATTCGAAAAAAATTTTAACTTATTAATCACTGAAAGTGAAAAATATGTAAAATAAGAATTTGAATAAAAAAAAAATTATCTAGAGTAATATACTTTTATATTCTAAAAGTAGTGAAAAATCTATAAGTTTTTTTTTTCAGGAAAACACTTTCAGATAGTAAAAATGTTCCGTATTTTTACGCAGTTTCTAAAAAAAAATAAGGATTTTTCACATGATGGTTTTTTAAAAATATTTATGGTTTTTGGACACTTAAATCAAAATATTTGGCCAACATTTTCGAGAGTTCACCCCTAAATTCATTTTTTTTTTTTTTTTAGTTCTAAGGGTTAAATGTTTGCAATGGCTGTTTTTAAGGAGGGGCAATAGGGACGATCACTTCTCTGGGCGTTTTTTCTTAAATATTAATTAACTACTCGAATTTATTAATTTACTCGTGTTAATATTTATTCTAATTCGTCGTTAAATGAGAGTTGTTTTAACATAATTAAATTGTTTTACTGTTAATTCTAATTGTCTACCTGTAACTTTCAAGTACACCCAAATCAATATGACTTTAACAAAACCTAAGTGAATTCAAATAAAGTACCTGGCACAAGTATCCAATTATGGTGTTTATTTCCTAATAATTTTCATTTTAACAATGCCAATCAAAAAATGTATCTACAATGTTGCAGAGTTGGGCACATCACGCCACTGAATGTCTGGGAACTGCGTGCGAAGTGTATACTATATATTTTTGGGTTTTTTTTTTGCCGGTTAATCATTGCCCGTCAATACTCAAACCTAAGTAAAATCGTATAACACAACACCCAAATACGTATACTAGCAGTGGCGCATAGACGGGTACCTCACGACGCAAATTCACGACCGAATTGGGTGATGGGTGAGTGAGACACGCTATCATAATGAGATGCGGTAACGAAAAATGTGAAGTGCGGCCGCACAACAGAAACGTCTACAGCAGTCTTAGTTACAGATACCGCCGATCCTACTGGGCTCAGGTTGTACATAATCGCATGCGATTTTTCGCAATGTTTCACCATACGAAACCGCTTTGCAGAGCAGAAAAAAAAAAAAACTTCGCGCCGCGAAACATCAACACGAATCGTATTGAAAAACGATAATATACGGGTAAAATCGTTTAAACGGGAATACCTAGCAGAGATCATGACACGGGTCGGAACGAGAACGCCCGTATTATATTTACCGTGCGTGGCGGTATGGTATTATATTAATATTATGTGCCGCGATTAAAATGTTATTTTTCCTGCGGTTTCTCCGGTTCGTCCTTTCTACAATTTAAAATAATACGACCGCGTTTATAGGTGTATACTAATGTTATTATAACGCTGTAAATAATTTATTATACTTATAGAGTATTCAATAGTTTTAGTCCTTATTGCGTTCGCGATGCCCTTGGCGACACTGCTCGCGTATACAGGAATCGCATACGGAAACGTTGACGGATCGGTTTTTTTTTTTTTGTAATTTTTTATTTCCTCAATCTTTATATATATATATTATTATTATATTCATCTATCTGTCCGTCTATAGCAACGCTTAATTGTTATAAAATTATTAACGATCGATTAAAAAAAAAATATATATATATATGAGTAATATTATCATAATTACCTGGAGGCAACCGCACCAGCCTTTTCTTCCCCGCACGCTGGGCGTGGGCATCATTCCCGACAGTCTTTCCGCCAGACCCGCCATGGAGCGGGGCACGGTCTGAAACAATCGACACAAAAAAAATGTCGTTAGTTATTTAATTTTGTAAAACATATTATTATTAAAAGGTGCAATTCGTAGCAAGTAATTTTATAATATTAATATTTTCAAGAAAATATGTACGACATGATGATTGATGATATTCTTAAAAATACCACTACGCGTTATAGGCGGGAGATCTCGACAAGTAGGCCGGACGTCGACTGGACCACACTGTTTATGGGAGTAGAAAATTACAAAGAATATTGATTATGTAGAACAGCGATTCCCGACCTTTTCGACAGTAAACTGGCAACTTTGACTACTCAGCGAACCCATTCGATGGGTCGCAGATGGTGGAGGACAACCTTGATTCTCGGGAGACTATTATAATTTTGTTGTTTTGGTTTGTAAACGAAGATCACTTTTTTCACATATTTATCGGATCAATAGTTTTACATTGTAATTTACGATAACCCAATGTGATTTTTCAACTTGACTTTTTCTTTAACAAGTTTTGAAATTTTAGAATGAATACTGTTACTCGGCATGTTCTCAGAGTTATACTACGAGTGTCGCCATTCGCGTCAAACCGATTCCTCTGTTGATTATGAGCGGATTTGAAAATCGTTGCTCAAGCAATTAATATGTTTTTGTAGGAAATACAAGAAGATAACGTAATTTCCCGGGTTTGAGTAATATGTGATATTGTCCGGCGTGCAGTGATTTTTCGTCTTCGTCGAATTTTTCGTTTTTAAATTGTCGGGTAAAAAACTAACGCAAAAGTAGAAGAAAAAGAAGACAAATAATGTATTATTTATGTAATTTATACAGGTAAATCGCATTGTATTTACTGTTTTTTTTTTTTTTTTCAAACGCGTTTTCTAATCGAAATTATCGATATTTATAATGAATAATAAAAAAAAAAAAAAACCAATAACAATAATAACGATAATAGATAATATCACATAGCCTCGATATTGCAACGTTCGCGCTACAAATAAAAAAAATTGAAAAAAAAATAATCCGTCGAAAAGCGCGATAAGGAAAGGAAAAAAAAAATATCGCGCGACAATATTTATCCGCTTTGCCCGTCGCGCGAGTACGTTATTATGATGTTTTACGCAACTATTATTCGCGCTCGCTATCATCGGCCGGTCGAGCTAACCGGAGGATTACCGGCGTGCGGCATTGTGTCGCGAGCGAAAATAATGCGCACAGCACCCACCACACCGATACGTTATTGTAAAACGCCATAAATAAATAACATCGCGGCGACCGCGTCGTAATAGAAAACGTGTACACGACACGACAATCGGCGTGCCGATCGCAAACGTTTCGTCTGCGAACGGTTTACCATCCGAATGTCGAAAACAACGTCATAATATTGTTAAGCGCGTTTTCCGTATACGCAGGTGCGCGGTCCGCGGTGTTACGGCGGCGACGTTCTTTCGCGCATTGGGCCGTTTAGACCGTCGTGCAATGACAAAATGTCAGTAAATCGTCGTGACAGTCCCTATCAGAGCTGCGGCGGGGTCGCCGGCGTAATATATTCGATTTACCGCGGGGTTCGGAAACCCAGGACATACAGTATACGCGCCGTGCCAGTGACGGATTAAAGTAGGGGTGGAGGGGGGAGTGAGAAGTCCCTGGCCCCTCCTCACCTCTTGACAGTTATATTACGTTTGTAATCGTGGAATAATACGAGTTAATAATGTCATTATCAATCGTCGTTCGAATTGCTGTTAGACCAACTATTACGATAGTATTTTATATTTACAGTGTTCATTGTTCAAAGTTTATGTGAACGATTTCGCTCCCCCCCACAAAAAAAAAAAATAATAATAAAAATTCTATATCCGCTACTGAGTCGCGTATTATATATTTTTACTCGTACGACTCCAGCCTAAACAAAATAATAATAATATAATAGACATCTTGCATTTTAGCGACCTCCTTTTTTCGATCTCGTAAATTATTCATAATTCCCTATACCGTCTTGAGGAAAAATTCACAATACGCCCCGCTTCGTTTTAGATTGGGACGCGGGGAAAAAAAATTAAACAAATACGTCTCGATAAAAAGGTCGAACGAGTCCACTCATCATAACAAATGGAACTGTAGAGCATTTGTGTGCACGATTAGCAAATCGTGTAGCTAATAAAATCCTGACTCCCGAATGACAATATTTTATAAAAATGCAGATCCGATAGAAACAATAAGACTGGTTTCTTCGACTTTCTTTGTAGTTTCAATCAGAACTTTCAAGGAAGAATGAATTATTATTTTTGAGTCTGAACGCTTTTAAACGATGCGTTATCAGTTTTTTCATATTTGAAAAACATGTAAAAAATACATTTCTTTTTTCCGTTTTTTTTCGATGCATTTTACATGGTATTTTTAACGGATTTTGTGTTTTTTTTCCCACCTATAGAAATTGTCGCGTTATCCCGTTAAAAGATAAAAAAATCTACGCTGCCATCATATAGATGTACAGCAAAGTCCAAATAATATCGTGTTCTCGGTTTCCGTTCGGCTAATCAAATTGTACACCCGTAACACACGCGGGCCGTAGCCTATCTAATTTCTCTATTATAAAACCTATCGTATACGGAGGAAAAAACAACCGTGAACGAACCGCGGTCTTTTCATTTTTTTTTTCTCACATCTATAAGTTTTTCTCTGCAACAGTCGTACGAATCACGCAGCCGAACACATTATGCGTTAAGTCGATTATATTTATATTATACAGGTACCGTCCGGAGAAGACGATACCTGAACGAGGCGGTTTTCACTTTCAAAAAGAATGCTGTTGCGCTGCTGCGCAGCCTTGCCGCCGCCGTCGAGAATATACGGCGGCAATACAAGACGTATAGACGTTTGACATTCGTCACTCCGGCGAAACAATTGGTTTTTTTTTTTTTATTATTTAATTTTAACTTTTTTATATTAATATATAATATTGTAAATTATTGTATACGCGTACACGTGTTCCGGACGCGATCGTCGTTTACGGGCTCGGGATGTGGGTAACCTTGTAATAATATGTGTCCGTCACCGTAACGTACGCGTATCATTTATAATAATAATAATATACGCTGTTACAACACGAAACGCCTACTGTATCTATTTTACACGACGACGAAAACACCGGGATAGATACGTATGCCTACTTTCGATTTCAAATGGGACGAGAGAATTAATTGTTATATGAAAATATAACTACGTCAACAATAATAATATTGTTAACTCGACTGGATCGGGAAATAAACAAACAAAACCGACTTCGGTAAAAAGTCGTCGGAAAATGCATAAATTTCACTAATCAAATTGAAAATTACAATGCAAAAAAAATTAAACGATTTTTCACTTGAATCGATTGAACAGGGTATAATTGGTAAAAGTTTAAGAACCGTATACACAGAATCAATCACATTTGTCTTCTACCCGTTAACTTAACCGAACGTTTACGAAAATCAATTGTAAAATGTTTAGTTCTAATTTATTCGAAATAGTCAATGTTAAAAAAAAGAAAAAAAACCTCGTTTAATTTAACTTAAACTTTTTAATTAGTTATTGCCCTCCAACGGATAGTCCACTCTCTCATTTATGCGTAGGGATGCCATAATATTCTGTCAGTGATAGTCCTAATCATGGTTTATTACATATTTTTAATCATTGTTAATAACAAATTATCACTATATACAATTAGCAAATCTTAAACATTTCTAACAAGATAATTTTATCATTACCTCATAGAGTGATCCGATTTTAATTATTTTGTTTTTATGAAAAGGGAAAAAAATCCTACAGTGCGTATTAGATTTCGATGTTCGATATTCTAACCAAAAGCTATAAGAAAAATTGTTAAAACAATAAATAAAAATTGTTCATATTCAAACTCTAATTATAGCGTTTTAAAACATAATTTTCGAAACCTGTAAACAATTTTCTTCTTTCCAACAACAGAGATGATTGAAATAGGTTCACAAGACATGAGAGTTTTTCCTGTAAAGCCCGCAGGTCCCTTAAATACTTAATTTACTCGATGTATTTTCTCAAATTATGACGGTTTAGAACTGCGACAGATATCCGAAGAGTTAGAGTATAATTCGAAATCATTTTATTGTTAAAGTCGATGGGCTACCTGATGGTATTCACCATTCAGGAAGATAACATAAAGTTAAAAAACGAAAATGTGTGAAAACAAAGGTCATCGGCAAATCTAGATGGTCCGAGACCTATCGAAAGTTATCCGCGCGGTCCGAATAGTATGTCAAAAAGTTTATTGAGAACCACTGTTTTAAAACCGTCCGGTTATCATTACATATAGTGCGGTTTTTTTTTTTTTTTTTATGCCGGAACAGGCGGGAGGGAAAAAAAGTAAAACGACTATGGTAGTGCTGCCCATCACCGTAACCTAAAATGTAATACAGGTAGGCACTACGGCGCACGTAAACGATTATATTATTCCACTGTACAATATTGCGTTCGCTCGTCGGGTCGCAGCATCGACGTGATTGTCTGCGGATTTTCACCCACGGAAACGCGTTTGAAACGCTATTATTCTCGGAGGGTTTCTTTTTTTTTTCTCCGTGCCTTTCGAAAAAATAATTCTCCCGTGTATCCCGTGCACCCTGTCCGGCAATGCCCGGCCACGAACAACAGTTGGAAACGTTCGCGTGCGTACCGACAATACAACAAGCATTAGGTACCATATCGACGGGCGATCGACGAGCGCATGGAACGCGGACGGGTCGCGAACGGCCGCCGCCATTATTGACCTCCAACGTCTGCGCCGGGCGATGCGGAAATACGAGTCGCGCCAAATTCGTTTCGCGAATATACTCTTACGTGCATTTATTATTATTATCATTATTATTATTGTTTATCATATTTACACCGGGAAGTATCCGCATGACGGCGCGCACCTACAACGCCGGGTACGTTATTATATTAATACGATATTTCGCGCCGGGAATGTGAAAGTATACAAGTCCGCGCGCGGACGGCGACGTGCGCGACTTGATGCAACAAGCTCGTGTTTTCTATACACAACCTAAGTGACTGCTTGGCGTTCGCATACACATATATATATAGATTTATGAAAGATAATAATAATAATAATAATGATAATATTTGCATAATAACAGGCGGACGGCGTATATTTTTGACAAACTCGCGGGGAAACTTCGGCGTGCGGGAATTAGTCACGTAGCAGGTATGCCGAAAATAAAATACAAATAAAATGGACGTAGGCGACGACGATGAGAAAAAAAAAAACAAGTAAATTATTTTCGAACCCTACTCCATTAATTTTTTTTTTTTTTTAGACTCTATTGGGATAATGTATCGATTCCAGTGACGCTATCTAAATCGGTTCGGGGCGTTTAGGAGGTATGCATGGTTGAAACAAACAGGTTCAAATATACTGCAAACATTATGCACGACACTTAAACACTATAGTATACTCTGCAGTCGAGTAAAACAGCGTCATCTCTAGCGAATATCTGTCGTTTCAAGAAGACCTGCAGAAATCAATAGAAAAACAAAATTCGTCCGAAATTCTTCTAATTTTCGTGTCTGCTAAGCAATAAGCTGCTAAGCAATTCCATGTGTCAAATCTTGTGTGCGAATCAGTGGATTACTATATCCATGGCTTTTTAATTATAGATACCGTTAAGTAGTTTCTTCTTCATTCTGATAGGATTATTCTGTACCGTATAATAGATGGTCGTGTATCGCAAGTCTAAGGAGTGCATAGAAAGAGCCTACCTTATTCTGGATAAGTAACAATCAGGTACAATTCGTAACGATCCTTGGAACGCCAGCGCGGTACTAGAAGATGTTCTGAATTGAAGTGTGAGCTCAATTGAACTATGGAAATTAAATTTTTAAAAACGAGTTTCATCAGTTTAGTCAGGTTTTTTTAGTAAGAAAAAGATATCGTGATAAACTATTTTTTTTCCCAACGTTCTTCAGAAAAAAAAAATTGAGTTGAATAGTATAGTCATATGCCTCTTTCTTACACATTAACTTAGGCACTTGCTACTATCTAACTTGCCTTTAAGTCGGCATTTCGGTTGATATCTAGCTTTTGGGTCTGAGAAAAAAATGTCAAAACATCGAAAAATGTTTATCCCATTAGTTCTCATGCTCATACAGATTGGTAATCTATGGTCAAATTTTTGATTTTTCAATAGATTTTAACGACTATTAACGGCGATTTTCACTTTTAAAATTTAAACGTCACGAAAATATTAAAATGTATTTCTCTGTAAGCATGTAAATCTGAAATACCTAGCTATTAAAATATGGAGGATAATAATTCTCGAGCGAGAAGTTGGCAATTTTTTCTTTTATTCAAGAATTCCTTTCCTCGTCAGTTTTTAGACTTGGTAAGTTAGTTCCAGTTCAAATATTGAAATAACGTCATTGGTGTTGGCAATCCAGACATTGTCGCGTCATACTATATTCAATGTACTCGGCTCATTTATGTAATACGAGCGTTCGAACGTCATTTCATTAGGTATACAACAAATTAAAATAAATAAATAACAACATGTTTATTATTTTTATTACTCTTATACAAAACAAGTCTCCAAATTGTTGTTTTAGCGCTAAATACGAATGCGCTAATAATGTTTTATAACAGTAAGTACCTATACGACCCGTTTACCAGGTGGTTCCATTAAAACTGTAAACGAATTTCAAATAAAATAGTTAGTTTTATTTCTTTTTTAGATACAACCAGCTATATTACCGTATATAATGCATCTGGTACATAATATTATTGTAATATTGTCGACCGGCTATTATAATTTCTGTAGCTTCGCATTTTATTATCATATTTTGTTGCGGACAAAAAAAAAATAAAAAAATCCAAACGTCTTTTCGTGTCACTGACCCACTTCGGTGCAGTTAAATACATAATATAATTTTTTTTTTATTGAACCGATACACGTGTGAGCAGAGCCTTGCCTATCTATACTCGTACCGTATAGTATTTGTGTTGGAGTTTTGGAATTAACTCAATGCGGTGCGACGTTTAAATAGGAAGAAAAAAAAACCGTGTCAATCCTCGGTGAAACCACTAGAATATTTTACTCGTCACGTCTCCGTATATGTGTACAATTTACTGGATCAATTGTTGAGCACATTGTATACTATACTTTTGACTCGTCAGCGATAATATATTCTAGTCGTTACTGGATATAACGACTAAAATATTAACCATAATAACATTATGCTAAAAATACCCTCGTTTAATAAAACACACGACACATATTATAATAGTGTGGCCTAAACGCACGTCCGAAAAACACGCGGTTCGTTTTATTATTATATCGAACGTAGTTTTTAATATTTTTATCATACGTACTGACAACAGTAACTATATAGAGTAAAATGACGATTTAAAAAATTACAGTTGATTTTGTTTGTTTTGCGATTTTGTATAGATAGTCGATATAAAAAAGGCAGGTACTGCTGATGGGCGAACCGCTGTATTAGGAGGAAAGTTGGAAGATAAAATATATTATATATATAATGTATATAGAATAATTCAATTTGTATTTGTACGCGACGATAAATTGTTGCTAACTGAAAACGATTCTGTTTCAGAAAATCAAAAAACGAACTGTTCAATGCACCGACTAGATGAAAAATTCTACAAGAAATAGCCTACGTAATTTTCAATCGGGCCGAGATTTCCGGCGAGACAGAGACGAGGGAAAAAAATAAATACATTTCTCGCTTCACTCGGAAACTAAAAAAAAAAAACCCTCTTTGAACGTATTAAGTATCTCGGATCGTTATACATATAATGTGATATTTTATTGATAATAGAAAACGAATTTTGAACACGATTGTATGCGTTCTAATATAATATATTTCATGGGTCATTTTAGGACACGCCTTTATGTCCCTTCGGATCCCCTATAATCTATATACAGTCTGTATGCATATTAACGGATACGTGTTACCGCAGGATCGTCATATTGTAATATTGTCGTTTCTATAAGTCTATTTATCTTTTGGGTTTATTTATTTCGAACAATATGACCGTCCGTTTCGGTTAGCGCAGTATAATACACGTTGTATATAATGGCGGTATACGGTCGGGCTAATAATCCAATAAACATTGACGTTTAACGTCGTTTTTCAATACAAGTATACCTATACGAGAACACCGGAAACGTTCGGTCGACGGACACGTGTCTCGGCGCGGATCCGACCGAACAAACAACGCGTTTGTCTCGTCCGTCTAGACAGGTCGCTAAGTAAACGCGCGTCTACATTATAGATGGTGAATATTATAGTGATACACCTCGAATGGACATATTAAATCAGTAGGTAAATACGTTTGATGTTCTTTCGGTATTTACCTCGCACATTATATTTAATTCGTACGTCGAAAATTGTCGTATATTTTATTGATATGTATTATGTTATTGAGTTTTTTTTTCCTTAGGTACTCATAATTTTATTTCGAAATTCATAAGTGATAAAAAATAAAGTTTAAAAAAAAAAAAATGTTTGTGTTTCAATAGTTATATATTATATACGTCATTATTCGTTATTTTATAACGAAAATACAATTTGCCCGATTCACCCGAATGTTCGTTTGCTCGCCACTATAGGCTTTGTATAATTAGTAGTTACATAGAATATTTTATTATACCGGAGGACAAAAAACGAAAAGCGTGTTCGACAACAATTTGTCGCCCGGTGGAATGGAGGATTACTCGGATTACTGGATTTTCGACTAAAAACGAATTATACCGTATAGTATACGTAATAACTAATAATATACGTATGCATAAAAAAGTTGTCCTAGAATAATGGGGACGGGTGCAGCCACTGTTGTAGGTTGGAAGTGGAAAAGATAGGGGAAAAAATACCGTAATATTTGTAAACTAATACCTAAATTTCGTACATTTTCCCGGTTTTTCCATATTTGTTGGGAAAACTACTGGGAAAATCAAAAAAATAACCTAATTAAAGTACCTTCCCAGTCAGATATTCTTTTAGAAAAAAGTACTTACATTGTAAATCGAAGCAAAACTGCTGATAGAAAAGTCGTCCACAGACAAAAAAATAAATAAATAAACATCATTTTAAAACCTCCCCGCTCCACTCAAAATCTAAAACGTTGTGAACGTATTTGAAGAAAATAAATTCCAATGGAAAACGATTGCAATCGCAAATATCAAACTGCAATTCGCATACCGCGATAACCAAGATTGATTATCATAATAATATGGTCGTTGAGGTAGTGCCAAACGAACAACTCGACATATATTATGTGGCTCACCTTGATCTCTTACACGCCGAACGTGTCTTACAATATAATTATGTTCTACAGTAGGTATAAATAGATTATATTTCCGTAAATGATAATGTTATTGTTATTATTTGCCTGGCAGGGGCTTTTTCGATGCGTATTATACTAAAATGTCTATAAACGCATTATTATTCTCTCGCTCTTGGATATTGTCGATTGACGTTCCGATAGAATGTATTTGTGCAGCCGATAACCCAGTAAACCGATGTTATATTATTATTATGGAGAAAACAAAATATTACTGCCAACTGCAAATCGTATAGGGCGCCGGCCACGCGTGCGTGCAATACCATCAGCTGTCTGCCCCTATACCATCACGCGGACGGCGAACAATGATAATAATTCGATGTTATCGATCGTTAAATCGAATAAAATATAACATTAATGACACAAAAAAAAAAAACGAATTCAAGGTCATCGGATACTTTCCCCCGTACAATTACGACGAAAAAAAAGAAGCGTATACGGGGCATAAAGACCGAACGCTATATACAATGCCTACCGGACGAAATTCAATACGTTTTTTTCCCGATTTCATTAACCAACTCCGCGGAGTGTTTCATAGGTATATAATAATATAACAATATAATTAACAAAAACGAATCATCGCGCGTTGGGCGGTAAAAAAATGATCGCGAAATATCGGCTTTCACAAAGAAAAAAAAAAAATGAGTCAAGTACAATAATAACAACGCGCCAATTATTGTAATGGTGAAAAAATAGTCCTCATTTCCCAAATATCGTCGAGTGGTCGTTAGGTCGTCAGAACTATACTAGACGGTCAGAAACGCCGCTGCACGGTAGTAAAACAGTCGAAATCGATCCAAAACTATAATATTGGACGCTAATGTACGTTCCGGACGATCATCCCAAAAGAGGATATGCGTGCGCCTCGAGGAGTCAATAATAAGGGGGGGAGGGGGAGGCGAATATTGAGTCGGGCGATTTTTCCGGTAGGCGACGGACACGGCACAAATCCGGCAGAGAAAAAAAAAAAAAAAGTATCGCCTAGCTCTCGATTCCACGTGCTTTTCGTTGAGGCCGCAACGGTCGACAATTACGACGTCCGCAACAAATATAATAATCCGCGACGCGTCTCGACGGAATAATAACGACACGAAAAACCGTACGAACAAGCCAGTCTCGTTCCGGGTCATCGTCGAAAAACAAAAACAACTCAATCGTCATTGCAGTGGACTAACGCACGCGAGGAGTTCGGGAAAACAGTATCCGTGTCGCCGGTGTCCGCGCTGGAATATCAATGGCCACCGCGTTTTCGGTTTTAGTATTCGGCGAACCGCCTACACGCGCCGCCGCACGTGCACTGCGTTTTTATTTCGCATCCGTCTGCGCGGTCGTTTGTCATTATTGTACTGTTGTGTTGCACGGGCCACAAAAACACGACCGCGGAGGATAAAACGCCGTTTTTCGTTATTATTATTATTATTATTATTTTTTTTTTTTTTGACGCGATCGACAACGTTTCTTCGCCGACAAGAAATACGAAATCAATCGAACGTACAGCATAACATCATATCCAGTACGTATACCGCGGGGTGTTGTCGTCGCGCCAACGGTTTTCTCCGAATGCGCAGTCGGAAGACATTGCAACAAGCCATCATCATTCGGACGCATCGACCTTACTGTACGACAATTCCCTAAGCGTCGTTACACGCAAAACGTCTTCACCCGATTTCCCGGCGACGTCTGTCATCCTAAGCCGACCTTGCTCAATGCCCCGACGATCGTAGACCGCGATAACCGGTGGGGGGGGGAGGTGGGATTTCGAAAATCGGTACTGGCGACGTATCACGTATTTAACGGTGAAATTCGAGTCGAGAGTATATCGGGGCAGTCGAACCAGCGGAGGGGCGATCCAAGTTAAATTCTAACAGGTACCTACTAATATGGTCAAACGGAGTTGTCGATGGATGTGCCGGACGTGATGGCGACGTCACAATTAAACCGTTTTTGTATACTCATTCGGGTCATAAAAAAAAAAAAAAAAAAAAAAAAAAACAATGAATGACGCTCAATATCGCGTTACGCTCAATCTGACAGTACTGTAATGTGTACCGGTAACGCGCAATCCTCCGAGACTCTCGCCGCTTCTATGCCGGACTACCACCACGCCGGTTATAAACTCGCGGTCTTTTCTCTTTATTTTTATTTTGTTTTTTTTTTTTTTGGTAATCGTAGGTAATAATAACAACATAACAATACGAGTGTAATCGGACGTATCGACATAATTATCGCAGCAGTTATTATATATTTTACTCTTATAATATTCCTCCATTACTCGGGTTCGGCAGATTTGATATTGTTTTTTTTTTTTTTTTTTTTTATTATTATTTGACGTTTTGTTTTCGGCTTAGTGGCGGTATTTTTTTCATTCTTCAGAAATTGCAGCATCCGGTCCTTATATATATATATGTATATATATATATATTATATACTCCTCGAGACATTCGAATTTGCGACGATTTGTACGGACCATTAAATAAAACAAGCTCCGCGGTCGGCATTCTATGTGCTGCGGTGTAGTTATATTATACAATATACCTGCAATACGAGAGACACAGTTAACCAGTCGGCTGGTCACCGGGTTAGCGGTTCGCCGAACAGATTAATTGGATGATCGGAAAACCTGATTGTATATTTTTCCACCTGTTCGCGACCGTTTTTCCTTATTTACCCAGCAGTGTACCTACTTACACTTCGTTCTTATTATTCTTTTCGCTCCGATTAAAACGTTAATGGGACACCGTTATTAATAACATCATCCGTGGCGTTTTTAGGTATATATTCCGCGACATTATCGATTTCCGGATGTCGCCGTAATCCGAAGATTTTATAGGTACTCAGGCAGATACATATTATACGTATTTATTATTTGTAATAACGATATTAGTTTTACAAGACGTTTTACAAAAATCCTTCCTCGTAAACACGATCATAATATCGTGTTTCTGTTCACGTCATGTCCACCCGCGCTCCGTAGACTTATAGAGAAATGGACTGATAGTTCAGATAGCTCTTTCTTCTTTCTCTCTAGTTCGGAAGGCATATAAGCATTCTGGAATCCGTTTCGGCACCGGATCAATTCTGATTGTTCGATTTGGCAACCTTCTTATTTTGGCATATATTAGAGCTGACCTATCATGACCGAACTTTATTGTTTTTATACGTTATTTCTAATAAAAATATTAAACATATTTGTCTCGACAAAAATTTGAATTTTTTTTTTTGTTCTCCTAAAAATAAGGACTGCCCTTTGTTGGCCTTTTACTGAAAGCCATTTTGTATGTGTCTCGGTAGGAATCCGGTCCCAAATTTGACCTGTACTCATATAATACGAGTCTTAGGATAATCAATAAAAATCCGAAAACATTAGAAAATCTTAAGAACCACCTCGCAGTGGTTTAAGATTACGTGGCTAAAATTTAAGCATATACATTATACACTACAATAGAAATTACTGTTCATCGAGCGATTCCCTTATAAGGTCGTACTATTAAAATGTTTAAATATTTCTAGGAAAAAATAACTTTTCTAAAATTTTGAATTATGCACAATCCAATACTCCGGTTCCGATTATATCGAGACTCTACACTACGCGTGTATTATAAACGAGACACAACCCCGATTGACGCTGTTCTGCAGTCTGCAGTTGCCCTACGACAGAAAATCAAGATATACTGAATGGGAAAAAAGGAAACACGTGACACGTTATTACTGGTGTTTTAATACAAATTTAACGGTTACTGAATAATATAACACGCGTATACGTCCGGATTATATTTTAGAATAAACGTGTGGTCCATCTGCTGATGGCGGTCGCTCGACATTATATTGAATCGGTACGATAAAAAATCATTATTGTACAATCGAGGTTCACCATTGGACGGACACAACAATAATATACAACGGTCACCGTTGAGTTTCGATTTTCAGAACTAAATGAATTGGAATAGCAAAAAAAAAAACTAATAAAAAAAAATAAAAAAAATATAGCCATTGCTATAGTCTAATTGCCTGTAGAGAAATTTCAGAATTCGAAAGAAAGTTTAACGTTTTAATTACTATTCTATCTATTCAAATTGTGAATAATTGTTCTACATAATTAGTTACACTGTTATTATAAATCTGTAAGTCAAATTGTTTAATTTAATTTTGATTTTCAATAGCTACAAAATCTTTTTATTATTTATATACAATTATACCAATATGGCAATAATCAATGTTTTTACGGGGGGGAGTTATTCCGAGTGAAGTGAAGAAACTTTTAGTTTTTATTAGAATGTGTTTTTTCTCTTGAAAAAACACTTTTTTTCTTAGTAAAAATGTCCAGATTTTTTCATGTAGTACCATAAACATGCGGAATTTTCGAAAGACCGTTGTTTACTTGAACAATTTTCTCGATTCTCGACGGTTTTTCTAAAAAAAAAAAAAATAGAAAAACCGACAACAAACGATTCAATTTTTGTTGATTTTCGGGTTACAAAACACGACGGATACCGATATTGTAACGTCGCCAGTTTCCGGTACTCCGCTCAGAATCGACTTTTAATCGCAAATGACCCGATATCAACAACGGCTTACACCCGTTTAATTATTATAATAATTTTAGCATCTATACAAACCATATCTGCACCAAGTCCGATAATTAATTTAATCAATATATTGTACGTTTGAGTACAATTGTGCAAATAAATACGCGAGTACCTACTCGTGCGACGGGCGATAAAATCTGGTTTTTTTTTTTCGACAATACCGCCACAATTAACGTCTTTGCGATATAAGTACACTCGACATTAAAACCGTCGACATAATGATTATTGTGAAGCGATATTGTACGATGGATTCGATACGTCATAATATTCGTATTATTGACGGGCGAGGGAAGGAAATCGGCATCGCGAACGTTGGAATATTATAAAATTATCGAACTGGTGTATAATAATAATTATTATCGTTATAACACGACGGGTGATACGACAGAGGTAAAGTAAATAGCCGTTATCGATCCCTTTCGCTTCCACTTAACATAAATTATTTTCTTTCTTTCACGTCGCGTTATATCACGTTAAAGACTAATACGCCCGTCAAAGCAGGCACTTAATATTCATATACGATAATAATAATTATTATTGAACGCGTACTATACATAGATACATAGGTATATATAAAAAGAAAAAGTTTGTGATTTTCGGAAATGGTATTCTAGGCGTATAGGTACTTACGCGCTATTCACTGCCTCCGATAGGTATAGACATTTTAGGCGATATTAAAAAGAAAAAAAAAATCCAATTACAATGGTTGGATGCGAAAATTCAATTATTTTATTGGAAATCGTAAAAAAAAAAATTTGATTATATTTTCGAACAATTTACAGTAATAATGACTTCAGTTTTGTCTGGCTTTTCGGTCTGAAACGTCACATTCGTCCGTAAACCCTTCCCCTTATTAAACGGATATTGCGCAGTGGATTAGTGGACAAGTCTTATCGTTAAGATGGCTTCGTTGGTGGCCATCAAAAAAAAAAAAAAAAACAAATGTAAACATTACTTTACAAAATCGAAGAAAATTTTTAAAAAAACCGGCGCCATTCCTCCCCTCTTATTAAGTAATACACCTCAAGTTGGCTCGAGCGTGTTTGAAAATTATTACGTCATCCGAAATCGAATATTGGGTAAACAATGGTATACTATTACCGCGTACCACCATGATATATTACTCGTATATTCGGAAAATAAATTTATATTATAATATTATACAGTCGCAAACCGGTCGGCCAAAATTTGTCATATTACAGTAAATACGTATATTAGGTAGAGTGCGAAAAAAGTAAAAGTATCATCGTATACAGAAATTTTAATTTTAATTACAAACAAACGCGAATAATTTAGTAATAACTAACAGAACTGTAAACCGAATAAGACGGTGTATCAGAATAATCGGTTTCGATTTTCGCAAAAATGACTACAATTGATATCCTATTGTAATAGTATTGTGTTTTCGACGAAAACGTGATTCGTCCGTGCAATAGATATATTTATTTATTACTCTATTGGGCTACTCGACAAATTCGATTATAAACCTTCAATAAAATTTCGTTAAAATCTCGAGTGCCCGCCGCGAGATAAAATTTATTTGTACGCGCTGCATCGATAAAATATTCCCTCCTCCCCCCTCCCCTTTCTCGTTTATTGCACAGAGAGATTATTGCACGAACATAATATTATAAAAACCTAACCGACCGATCGCAATAAAATACGAGTTTTTCTATAATAATGCGCGAGCGTTATTACACGAGTTATAATAATAACGATAGGGGGAGAAAAAAAAATTGCGGTACACGACTTTTACCGCGGCGAATTCGACGAGGGGGGAGGGGGAGGGTAATCCGAACTGATAATAGATTCGCATACAAGAACTACTCGCGATTTCAAACGGCGTCAGTGATGTAATCCGTTCGGTTTTGCGCCCGCGCGCCGGACGCATGACATCCTGAACCGGAGATGACGGACGTGCCCGGCCCGCCGGCCGAACCCGCGACGACAATACCACCGCTGCGCGACCGGCGTTTACAAACGTCTTCGGGAATCGACAACGGGGCCGCGACAGCGTCTCGTCGTCGGTCGATAATTTGCCCGCGGTTTCACGGCGACACGCGTCCGCCACCACGGTCCGGGCTTTCGGACGGCCGTTCCGCAACGGACGTGAAACGTCGTCGCGATAACGTTACGCCGGGTCGGTACGCACGCGGCGCGCGAAACGTCCCCGCGGCACGGAACACTCGGCCGCGCCGCGTGTCGTCGCCCCGGGCATCGCGTTTTTACGACGGCCGGACGAAAAATATCGGAACGAAAGCAGTGCCGGCGCACACCCGCTGGCCGTAGCGGCGGCGCAGCGGTAGCGAGACGCCTCCGTATGAATTACCGTGTCGCTACCGGACAATGGTACGACGGTCATAACGCGTGTGCACGCGCGTTATCGCGGGATATAGTACTGCAACGGCGGGCCAAGACCGGGATGGACTTTTTCGATTAAAAACAAAAAAAAAAACACACACACACAAACGAAACACGTAATTACCGTACGGTTTTATAAAACTGTACAATGTCAACGACGTTAACATTAGGTATTATGGTCGAGAGAGTGATCCGCGCGCGACGAATTTACGTCGAGCAGAACCGAACTCGCGTTGCTATTGTTCAACAAGTCGAGCGGTCGGCCGGAGCGGAGTTCGGGTTCGGTGTTAATCCCCCTCCCGCCCCGCCACACAAACGCGCTGTCGTTTTTTTTTTTTTTTCTACAACTTTATTAAACTCGTGTTCAAATTTCAACATTTCACCCCGACCGAAAAATACGGATTCTCCCTTACTCCTGAATTCGTTTCCAAATAGAGATACTATAGGCCCACGTGTTACCAGGCCGTACTTACACGCTCTTCTGACTATACGGGTACCAAACAATTTTGATGTTCATTATGACTCTGATCAAAGCGGTTGAAAATATAACAACTAACAAATGACATAGTTGCGATATTTCTTAAATTTGTTTAGCGTTTTGTATAAAGCCGGGCGCCCCGTAGTTTTAAAAAGGTTTGTTGACTTAACCCCGTTTTTCCCCTTAACACGGTTATAATTTTAGCTTGGTTAACGATATTAGAGTGAATCAACATGCTTAAAGTTCAAAACATTATCCGTGTTTGTACGTCGGCTTTTTTACGATATTTTTTCAATTTTAAATTTCAATTTGTTATTTATTCGTAGGTTGTTGACATAAAGATTGAAATATCGTAAAAAATAACCGACGTACACACTCGGATGTCGTTTTTAACTTTGAGTATGATAATTATGGGTCAATTCGCTCTAATGCTTGAGCTAACAACGCGAGTTTGATTCTGTTGAACGTAAATTCGTTCGTTGGTTAGAGAGAAAAAAAAAATAGTGCGCTGACATTGGAGGCGGTGATATTTTTCTGTGTGTCTTGCACACGTGCAACATAAATAAGAACAATTAGACGTGTTCTATTTCCATCGTACCAATTGGTCTAACGAAGTGATAAGAATATTCTGTAAATAGAGTTGAATTTGTCGGCAAGTCTACGTGTAATCGATTTCCCGCATATTTGCCTTTATCCCGCTAAATCCAAAAATAACCCCACAATAAAAAAAGAGGTAATCAAAAAAAAAAAAAAAAAAAAAACGGAATATTTCAATTTGTGGAGAAATAAAAATAAAAACACAAAATTAACGTGGGAAAGTCGATCTCGAGTAGACGACGGATAATTATACAAATCTGCTTTCGGAATAATTCTTATCGGTTCACTGTGGATCAATCATCGCTACGTTGAAAACAGAACCCGTCAGAAATCGCCGGATCCGATCACTTCGATAATATTATAAGTAAGCGGTCGTGGTGTTATCGACGGGTTCCCCCGCGTCGTTTTACCCATAAAAATAACGCGCCGCCTAACTATATCATTGCTATAATACATTTTTAATTTTCCCGCTAGAAATTATTAATATTATATGGAATTTCGTCCGGTTTGTATTTTTATTATTATTTTTCCGTATCTAATAAAGATTATTGAATCAACAGTTTAATAACCGTGTTTTATGGTACGTTTTTTTTTTTTTTTTGCTTTTCTTTCCATATTATTTTCTATACGGATAATAATATTGTTATTATAATAATTCGTCCAAAACGACCGCGTCCGGAACACGATAATCCCATAAACAGCCGCGGGAAAGTACCTGCCTAAAAATAATATCTAATATAATACCGCGGTGAAAACGGAATCGAGCGGAAAAAAAAAACTGAGACTAACGACGGCAATAGCAATAATAATAATATATCTGTCTAATAATAATAATACAGTTCGACGTTGTTACAGCCGCCGAGACGGTTTCGCGCGTTGAAAATTTTACCGCGAAATACAAAAATTTGTCGAGGTTTTTAGGAAAAGCGTCCGATTGTGAGTCCCTGTAGGCGCCACACGAACCAAATAAAAACTACTAGGATACTAGGAAAAGTCGTAAAATTAAAAAAAAAAAACGTACCGAAAATAAACCGCGCGCCGCACACGTCGAAATCAACAACGAGCGGTCGGCGTTTTTTCACGGCCCGGCTCGTGTTTCTCGTTTTTCGTCAGGATAATCGGCGCCGAAACAAGGGTTTCGTGAGCCGAGGTGGGGAGGGGGGGGAACAAAAATCGTCTCCTAACGAACAGAAATTCTGTCCGAAATGTCGAATCGTCAGAGGGTATACCGGAGTAATTGACGATCCGGAAATGGTTTTTTTTTTTTTCGACGCTTCGTTCGGTGTTTGTCCGCCTATTTCTACCCGCATAAGTAACACTCGGTTTCAATAATAATTGTTGTTGTAAATAATAACTGTTATTGTCGTCGAAAAACATTTGACGTTCGGGCCGACCGAATTTTCCCGGATCGTTCATCCGCTACATCCGGACCGTCCCCGAGTGACCCTCGGTACCGCGGGGTAAAGGCGATAATATTATTATTTACTATCGAGGAGCTTACCAGTTTGATCAGCTTCATCGTGGGTGTCGTCGGACGAGGATTACCGGCCGTCGGGCGCGCATGTGTGGCGAAACCCCTCGGTCGACAAACGCGCGACGGGCAGAGTCGCGAGAACCGGATAAAATTTATCCGATTTATCCAATAAATCGACGGGCGTCGGACTGCGGCCGGTCCGAAACGAGGGGCGGGATGCAATAATTATCTTCCGGACGGGAATTCCAAAACGATTAAGTTATAATATTTCCGTATTGATAAACCGGCGAAAAATCAAAACGGAGAACGCGTGCGGTCCGCGGTAATAACGATAAGACCGTAACGAAACAAAACACGGTAGAGAGATCGGTCGCACACGACTCGACACGTTCGACTGACTGACGGTCGGTGTGCCGGTCGACGGCGACGGTTCCCACCTGTTCCCCGCGGGACACGCGCCGCGCAATAACGTCTTGATGATGATAATAATTATTTCTACTTGGCCGCCCGCAATCTAGCGGACGGACGACTCCGCGGACAGTGGCGTCGTTAATTGGACGCGAGGGACAGGCCACTCACAGTGGCGATAATAGTAAGCAAACGGCAGTCGTGCGAAAATGATCGTAAGAAATCCGTATGATAGGGTTTCCGGTAACGCGACCGAGTTGCATATTATTATTATTATTATTATCATTATTATCATACTGCACACGAATAATATAATTTTTCCCGTCGGGGTTTCGCGTAACAATTTACGATAAATTTCTTTCATTCGCTTCGCGATTTTACACCGCGAAAATATAAACACTGGTATAGAAATAATCACGCTTTCGGACCGTTGTCATTTATCCGTATCGCGTTATTTGTCTAATCATTTTTGGACGACTTTCCCCTACCCCGACTTGAGCATTTGCCGCAGTCTAACTGACATCTCGGTTTGCAGGCTTTCCGGGTCTGCGACCAAAAAAATGGTCGATACATCGGAAAATGTTTTCATACGTCGTGTTTTGTTCGTTCGCCCACAGATAAGTATAATATTCGCGGTGAGATTTCCGATTTTTCTGATTTCCGATGACTGATTTTCACGACTTTTGAGGGAGCGATTTTTAACTTTTCAATTAAAGTTTAAACGCCGCGAAAATGTGCAAAATATTTCTCTGCAGTACGAGTATTAGAAGTGTGAAAATTTGAAATACCTATACATTTTACAGTTAACGAATGGCGATATTCGAGCAATATCTTTCTTAATAATATTTGATCGGAACATAATTCCTAAAATTTTAATTTCTTTGACCTCTAGGTATTCTTCAATTCACAACATCTGTTAGTATTTAGAATAAATACAAAAAATCCGAGCAGAGTTCATATTTCCCCACTTTTCGTCGACCCCCGACGAATTATGCATTATAACTACCTCCCCATTCCCTAAATAAAATGTAAAAACAATTCCAAAAATGATTTTCCCGTCAGTCAGTTGATCTCCACTGACAATAATACATAAAACAAAACAAACAAAAAATATAGAAGCTGGTCGAAATACAATTATATGCACTCGCTGACAAAGACTCGGGAAATAATATTCCAATTGTTTGTCGGATATATTTTTTTTATATCCCTTTACGTAGGGTCACACTGATTTACATAATATGATGATTGTCACGTGTAGTGGTAAATGTTCTGACGTTTATTTATTATACCAAGTTTAAAAGTTTTACAAAAGCCCTCCAAAAATCAAACCCATAATCCGTCGACGTCGTCATGATATTGTTCTGCAGAACGCACGTTGCCGGATAATAATAATCGTTGTTTCTTGCACGTCCCCGGACACCACTAACACTTGTGCTCCGCGAACCTCTGTTTGTTCAATAATATATAATGCAGGCTTGACTATAAGACAAAAAAAAAAATACGAGTGGCTTACCGTAGGGAAAAAAATCGGTTACGACAAGTCAAGTTAGAATGAAATCAATGACGGTGATGAGGGTGGACTGTTGGCGGAGAAAACGGAGAGTGAGCTTAACTGAAATTCGATATTTCGGGGAGGAGTTTACGCGTATACCCTCTGAGGGGATAAAAAATAATGCTTTTCTTGTATGCGAAAGGGAAGGGCAAATAAAAAAAAAACTATAGACCCGTGACATAAGAATTTTCTCTTGCGAACAATTCGGTCGTCCGTGTTTTTTTTTAACGCAATTTTAATATTGACGGACTTACGGTAGGCGCGTATTCATATACGACCGGAAAATTTTTTTTTCAGTTTTTATCAACTTAGAACAGAACATCAATGCTTATCAAAAATGCTTATACAAATACGGAATACTGAAACTGTTCATAAGTTGGGCCAAAGTTAAAAGGGGGAAGTTGGGAAGGTAGGATATATAGGTTAATTTAATTTAAATCTGTATGAAACGATATATCGTTGATAGGGAAAAATAATTTTGATCGATATTCGATTGAACATATTTTAAAACTAGTTATATTATGTCCGTCATACATGACGAAACGGTCACTGAAATTTATAAAATAGGTAAGGTTAATAATCCGAAATCTGCAAATTTGTATGTAGCGAAAACTATTTGCAAACGAATTTAAATGAAACTAAACGTTTTAATCAAAGTTTTATTTCACTGTTCACTAAAATAATCATTATTACGTAAAAAAAAAAAAACTACGTACTATGTTATAAATAGACGGAAATATAAATCATATTAAATGGTTAAAGATCAACTGACAGTAATTTATTGTATATAAATCGCACTCATCTGATAAAAATTGACTACAACGACCGATACACTCTTGATGTTAATTTACCAATTTTGGAATCTGGGTGCACTGTAACCCAAAAATTCCGTTGCATTTGAAATTATAAATATATGGGACATACAATTTTTTGGTTAAGAGAAAATTTCGTATGCGTTATATCCGTCATTCTAACGCACGAATACATAGCAAAATAATGTTAGAAAATTAAGAAAAGTTCAGATAATAATATAATATTATATTATTTAAAATTGTATTATTATGGTCGGGAAAGTATTATTACTAATTATAATTCAGGACACAAAGTCATGGACATTATAGTTTATCGTCTTTTTCTATGTAAATACATGTTTTCGATTGCTTGACGAATCGCTCGGGTTATTCTTAATACAATACCATTTCTGTAGCGTTTTGAGCTAAAACTGCAATTTCAGCCAACACAACTATGGTAATATTATTTTGATTTATGCATTTTATTCAATACGAGCCGCGGCCCAAGTGCAGACAAGTTACAAATTAAATACATACAAAAAACATATTTCGCGTGTAACAAAATACATATTAATTAAATAGAATTGAAAGGTCTTCATTAGCAAAGTACATCATCCTGAAGATTTGTCGTTTACAAAAATATAGTTAGTGGTGCATTGCTCAATGGAAAAATATTAAGATGATCGGAAGTAAGCCGTTCTAAAACAAACTTGACTAAGTAACACTTCATTACAGTCGACTACTCCATTGATGAACTTCCGAACGGAAAATTGGTTAATAATTATTCATTTATCAGAAAGGGATTATAAACATAGAATGTTCAGTACCAAATCATATACACGAGATCGGTGGTCAATTTTTAACAAATAAGCAGCTAAGCTTAAAAATATTTGCATTGCACCCTCTCAATCTGGTTCATATTATTCTCTACATTGGCCCCAAATAACAAAACTAAACTCTAGAATCTACCTAACAAGTGCACAGTGCACAGTATAGATCTTTTAGAGGTTAATAATTCAAATTTGTTAAAAATTATTTTTAGAAACCGGACCGTTTTCAAAACCTTGTAGCATATAATATGAGAGTAGAAGTTTAAATTTGAACTGAATAAAACCCCAAGATCATTAACTGAACTTCCTAGATGGGTAAGAACAGATATTAATACCAAGTTACGCGTATTTACAGATCGATTAGGACGGAAACCATGCGGTTCCTCGATAAGGATTTGATTTGCGGCTGGCATGGATACATTGCAATACTATAGACTCGAAAAGTCTACCAATATAGGTAAGAACAATTATAGAACTGTAATAACTAGCATCTGAAATATTGTCAGACTTGAAAACCGGTGTTAAGGCATTTAGTATCAGTAATTTAAGAAAGATCCTGATATCAAAGTGACTTTCTAAACAGAAACTATAAGAGAAAACGTAACATTTTTCGATTACACTCGTAAAAAACCGTTTTAAATTTTTTAAAATTTAAACTTTAGGGATTTAGGCTAAATAATCTACTCGCATACGAATTTTAAATGATAACGAAGCTTTGTTACAATGATGACTGAACAAATATGGAAAATCAAAATTAAATTTAAAACGATTAAAGTTAAAAGTGAATATTTTCCGTATGCATATAATGTATTATAATATACGCTTGATTGTATGTGCACTTATATTATAACCGGAAGGATTATTAAAGTTCATTTAAACGATTTAACAAGGGGGAAATGCGTGCGGTTGGAGTAATCGTGATAATGTCATATATTGCGTCATAATAATTTTGTTAAATATATGAAAAACAAATTAACAGCAAACGAATGTTGTAAAACTATATACCTAACTATAAAATACTCATTTTGAACTCATTTGCGTTTTTAGAAATTTAATTTTGGAAATCCGACTTTAAGATTCACGCGGATCTGTTTATACGCTTTTAAATGTATATTTTCAGGATTCTAAATGCATTTGATTCGGCTATGGATCTCGTATAAACAATATGCAAACAAACACATATGGATAATGATTATTTAAAGTAATTAAAAAAAAAAAATCAATAAAGAATTGATCTCTTTTTTTTTTCCATAATAATAATAAAGGACTTCACCATTAGCTGTATTATCATTGATTTTATATTTAATCAGTGACAATGCGTTATCTTTATAAAAACTAAATAACGTGAATACAGTTTGTTTTATGGTTTATGACCAATATTATACTAATATTCCGACGATCAATATTGTTAATATATACAAACAAATAAAAAAAATAAAACAATTTAATTCGAAAAATCATTTAACAGCTAGTATGTCGTATCCGCGTGTACTGTCTACGTGTCCTCCGTCTTACAAACGCACGATAGGTGAACATGAAATTTGCATCAGCACGACCAATTTTGCGTCGTTCATTATTTTAATATTAATGTGAATCGATCTATTACCTAAAGTTATGAACATTATTTGTGTTTGAACGTCGGTGTTTTTCGATATTTTGATTATATATTTTTAATTATGTAATCATAACTTAAGCTTTTAGTACATATTTTGATAACAAGTACTTCGGTAAATATTTATCATAAATCAAGGTCAACAATTATTTAATTAAACTGTCATAAAGAGAGTAATTCATATCTTAATGGTCACTAGGTAGATTAGATTATAATATAGTGAAACACAATATTTATGGCTGTATTGTTTTTTTTTTTTTTTTTTTATACATAGATATATTATGTACATGGGAAATTGAATAAAAAAATAATTACAATTTTTTCAATAACAGTGAATAATATATTATTTTAATAATCCTAATCCTAACTTCCTAACTAATATTATAAATGTGAAAGTCAGTCTGTTACGTTTTCACGCTTAAACCGCTCAACCAATTTTGATGAGTTTTTGTTTAGATAAATAGACAGGACTTTGGAGAAAAACATGGGCTACTTTTTGTCGCGAAAATAAAATAATTAATGTGATGAATGGTTTTTAGATATTTTTGGTACGAAAATTTAATTATTTTTGTTAAATTATGGATTACATTAAAAACAATGATGAAATGAAAACAAATTTAAAATAAAAAAATGAATAACAAACAGAAATAAAAATTAACAACTTAAAATAAAGAATCTATCTGGCTGTCTGCAGATTTATTATTGAAATATTAACTGTATGGGTGGGTAAGTGAACAGCGAAAACACGTCATTTTTTGAATCATTGTATTTTTTAGTATACAGTCACAACACTACAGTATACTATTATGTCTTCATAATTTTAGCGTTATTATAGTGGAGATATGGTTTAATCCCTGTGTTATGCTGGTATTTATAGTAAAACGGATGAAAAAACATATAACACACTAGCTAATTTTTAGTCCGCCGCAAGACTACTTACTTTTCGCTTATTTTTTTCATTCAATATACTGATACGAAGCAAAACGGAAATAAAGGTTAAAAGGATAAAACAAATTGGTACGGACAACGTGGGAGAGCTAGTATTATATATATAATATATATATATTATATATATTAGTATATATAAATAAAAAATCTAATTTTTTCGAAATCGTAATAATTTTGTATTTATACATATTAGGTACTTGTTAATTTTATGATTCATAAATGCTTATTTTCAAATGCATTTTTAATGATTTTTTAGTGCATTTAAGTCCTTAAAATCCTTTGGCGCACCAACACAAATAATATTCTTATTCATTTAAATTTGATAACTGCAGTTAAATCACTGTAATATTTAAAACTGACGTCTATCGGCAAAAAATTAATCCTGGTGAACGCAAATTTTCTGGGGCGCGGGTTAGTAAAACATATACGGTACACGCGGGTATTAAGGCATCTCTTATAACTTGTATTTTGCACAATATAGGTTTCCAGTACAGAAATCTGTTAAAAAAACCGATAAAATTCGAACACGCTCGGTTTTTTTTTTTTTTCTAACTAAATCTCGATCGCGTTCATTATAATATCGTATATGTTGTGAGTACATTTCATTGCGAAGACCACGGACCCTTGAAATTAGATATTTTCGCCGATTATGTTTTCATACGTAACGATGTTGTCCATACAGTGTTTACGTAGAACATATACATATAGTATATAAAATTGAAAATACGGTTTACCGGCGGAGCGAGTCGTTCGTTCGGCACGTACGGCCGTAAATTAAATTATTAATAATAATATTTAGGCGGAGAGAGGGAGGAGGGCGTAAAGGAGAGGCTATCCGTGTCGTTTGTCACGGAATATTATAGCGTCCACACGGCGGCGGTTTTTTCAGCGCCTGCGAGTTCACGACGCGATAATAATGTACTCATTATATTATAATGCGCTTCGGTAGTCGAACTTGTTCTAAAAATAAAAAAAAAAACACGGTCGTAACAAACAAACATATTGTGATATTCTCGTCCCTTGTATTGCTAAAAGTGTGAACTCGATCGAATATTTTCACGTCCGTATTCGTTAATTTTACAATATTATCATTGGTACCTATACGATAACGTAAGCCCGACTGCAGAATAATATTATGACTAATTGATTAAATGGATTTTACTATATAACGGATTTCGACGGTATGTATTTTTTTTTTGTTAGTTTTTTCCAATATATACCAATAAATTTGCAATAAAAACAATTTCAGGTTTTTCAGGTGCGATTTACTTTTCGTTTAGGTCATATAGAATTGAAAACACGATGCGATTTTTTTATTTACATTAAAATGTATAATATTCTATAACTGTAAAAGCCGTAATCTTTTTCGCGTGCTATTGTTGTTAGTATTGGTACTTAAAAAAAAATAAATACCATGTATTACTATGTATTATATTATGTATATTGGTATACCTATCCGATTAAATAGTTAAACGGTCCGCAATTAAATCCGCAGTTGAAATCTGTTGAATTTTGCAACGTTCGTCTATAATAAAAATAAAACCAATATTTTATACTGATTGTAACATGATTAGAAAACGTCTGAACTATTATTGTATAATAAGTATTGCAAAATATGCCACAAAATATAAAATAATTAGTGAGTATACCGACGTGTTTTGACGTTGTACAAACGCCGTCCGAGAATATTATCTCGTAAATTTTAAAACGCCGAAAATACCAATTACATAAATACCGGTGCAAAATTTCGAAAATTACGACATCTTTCGCGTTTCCGTGTACAGGTAGATACACGCAGAACGCGAGTTGTTTTCGAGAACCCGCGTAATTATAGATTTCGTCGAGATGAATTTTTATTTATTTATATTTTAATTCCTAAAACCCATTCGGATAAAACAATAAATCAGTATCCCTGTATTATTTTATTTTCGAAAGTGACCGAGCTGAACAATTTTAAAAATACTCCAGTTGCATGGTCACTGCGGACGCAGAGATCGTACCTCAGTTTTTCGAGAAAAAATACGAATATTATCAGACGAAAGAGTAAACCTATTGAAATGAAACTATAATGACTCGTTAAAATCAAATTAAATTATTAATTTAATTGTATTAATCATAATAAATTAATAGTTTTTTCAAGGGGAAGGGCACAGAGTTAACAAACATAAATGAATACCTAATTGAATATATTAAATACCACCTTGGTCAAACGCAGTGTTGAATCCAGACAATGATTCTGGAGGAGAGGTGGGCATTATTAAAATTATATTAATAACCTTTTTTTTTTTAGTTATCTACCCTTCTACCAAGATCAGTAAAATATTTTATGATTTAATTAATTATTAATTTACCCTCATTATTTAACTCCGTGCCATTCCCCTTGAAAAAATTATTAATTTATTATGATTAATACAATTAAATTAATAATTTAATTTGATTTTAACGAGTCATTATAGTTTCATTTCAATAGGTTTACTGTTTCGTCTGATAATATTCATATTTTTTCTCAAAAAACTGAGGTACGATCTCTGCGTCCACAGTGACCATGCAACTGAAATATTTTTAAAATTGTTCAGCTCGGTCACTTTCGAAAATAAAATAATAGATAATAAACATTTGCGTTTTAACCCTGCCAGAGCTCTATAATCGAACAGCTTGTTATTAGTAAACGATAAGTGACGTATAAGAACATCGGGTACCCACCTAATGCACAATATAAAATATACGCATATTTTGCGCCGAGCCAAGTGAAATTAGACCGCCGCGCCCAGAACCTAACACCGTCACACAGTGCACAGAACCGCATATTTTTTTATTATAAACAAAACTATAAATAATTGAATAATATTTAAAGTTTATCACGTTCTTATATTTTTGTTTCTAAACATAACAATATTAAATTACATATTATATTATTACAAAAATATTACGATAATCTCTACTATATGCACGTGGAAACTTGTTTATAATATATTATTGTTTATGACAATTTATTTAATAGGCGTATAATATATTATTATCTATTAACTATACGTTTCTTTACATATTATCAAATTGTATAATCGATGAAATGGCGATGACGTTACCCACGATAACCCATAATGAAGTCACTGTCGTCGGGCCGTACACAACAATAATATTATAACATTCAAAACTCGATTCTGATTTCATTATAGAAAGACGGGTATAAAGCGACCGTTTCGACGGTATTATACGGCGTTTTAAATAATTTATAGTGTGAGTTTTGGCGAATAACAGAATGCGCATACGTATAGGTAATAAAATAAATGTCATTTTTCAAATATGCTCGAACAAAATAGTATAATAAACCTTTCCCACAACGGAATCCTGCAATCGCCATTATGTATAGTTACGCCACTGTTGTGTAAAACTACCGAATATGGATTTTGTTTTTATTTTGGCCCCCATTAATACTACTATGACTGCACAGTGTTTAATGTGCATAATGCTCGTATCATGGTTTTAGCGATAAAAAATATAAACTCTTAACTAGGATGTCTTTTTCGGTTTGGAGATTGGATGTTTTCACGCAGTACAAGATACGCGATTTCCGACATTTTACATGTATACTTATTCGTGAACATATGTCTAGAAATCTGGTGGTTTTTCTTAAAAATTAAAAAAAAACTGAAAATACATCAACGTACGTTCAGCACCACCGTCTTTCAAAAACCGTATAACACAGATTAAAATTCGATTACGATCAAACTTTGATCAATTAAGTGTAAAAACTTTCTAACTTCATGATTAGCTTAATTCGGTGACATTAGTGTTACTACTTGAAGCGCTAAAATTAAATTCTCGTTATTTACCTCGTATCATCGCTCAGAATCGTTTTTTTAATTGTATAATGATTTATACGTTGCTTTCAGTTCATAAGTTAAATTACCCTATTTATGTATTTAATATAAATTATTATTATATATTATAATAAGTAAAGTACCCTCAAACAAATAAATTTACATCACGAAAATCTTAAATACGTCCCTGATAGTGGTCAAACATGGTACGCATAGTGCGAAGTATGTTCTGTTTTTTTTTTTTTTTTTTTTAATTAATATTTAAAAATAATTCGAATGAAAATAATTAAACTATTGTACGAAAAATTATGTTTTATTTTTATCAGATAATTATATTTTAATGCTTATGAAATTTCTATTTTGCGAATAAAAGAATTCTCGTTTATCATTATTTTTTTGCTATTTTTATGTAAATTATCCACTACACTAACAAATATTATTATTTTATTTTATTTTTAATACACTGTGCAGTGTGCAGTATATAAAGACTATCGATTATAAACTATATAATTGACTTATTAATAAATATATTTTACGATTATTTTTTTTTTGAAAATTGTTAACACATAAGGTATGTAGATATGTTATTATTTTTTTATTTTAAATAAATGCTTTCAAGATAAGACTACGAATATTTCTGCTGAAAAACAAAAGGCACACTCCCGCAAAAGAAATTAATATATCTTTAAGAAATAGTTAAGAATATAAGACGAATACTTGTTTATTTTTAAATTTTAACATACTTGAACATTTTTTTTGCAAATATACGACTAGTAATAAATATGTTCGTTTCTAGTTTTTTTTTTTTTTTTTTTTTTTTTTTTTTTATTTTATAAATATATCAAATATTAGCTGAAACGTTTTCATGTTAACTAATTATTTCTAAACGAGGATTTTTTATAATTTAAGACTTAAATCGTTTAGATAATATTTTAATATTAGTTTTTTACAACTATATAAAATTCAATTATTCCCAATACGTTTGCTATCTTTGCAGTACGAAATACAGGTATGCTATTAGTACTGAAGGTTAAGTTTTGGACGAAACGAGGAATGTATTATTGGTTAACTATGTGTTGGTTTTCTTAATATTTGAAAAAAAAAATAAGAAAGTTTACGGTGATAACGGTTTAATTATTTTTTATTTGGTTTTTTTATTATAATTAGGTTTAAATTAATCGTAGATACCTGAAATGTTCACAAAATACTAATGTAATCATTTTATAGACGTTGGTTAGATTTTTTGAGCTATACAATTTCATTTGATATTTTCGAGATTTTTATTTTGGAGTTCGTCCTACATTATTATTAGATGTTGGAACGCATGTTGTACTTCTACATGGTTACATTATAATATTATCGTACAAATATGGTAAACTTATTAACGTGTGTATTTAAATATCAGTTTCTGCTACAATAATGCGTAATACGCATAATACTACTGTGCTTCGACAGAGTTGATTTATTACTTCATAATTTTTTATTCTATTTGTATCTATATGGATATAATTATAATATATTATAATAATTATTATATATTATGATGTTACATAGATATAAATAATTTATGAATTTCTACCGCATAATATAATCGGTTTACAGTATGATTTTTCAATAAAATATAGATAATTTATTAGATTTCAATCAAGATTTTTGATCACGATTATGCAAGTAGGTGACCAACAACATGCTGTATAGTGACACAATGATAAGAGCAGGACAGTATAATATTTAAAGAAACTACAATGGTATTATAAAGATTAGATTACAAACTTACAGTATACAATATATTGTTTACTACACGAATCGCGTTTTCAATCGAATAATACGAAGTTATGCATAATAATTATTTAAGGTTAGGTCCACGCATACATACATAATGAACATCTAAAAATGCTTGTAGTAACGTTTAAAATATTTAAAAAATACATTCGTCGATATTTTGAACAGTCATCGTTATCTAAATCTATCTATATAATATTTAAATACCATTATATTGTAATGCCTTGTTAACAATTTGAAGTATTTGTATTTGTACATATCATAGGTTTTCATACGTTGTACTCGTAAAAATTATCCTTTCCACCATCTTCTATCGGTGGCGGATTTTAGGGGAGTAAAGGGGAAATTATGCGCCTCTCCTCTTGGACTTTTTTAAAGTTATTTACTACTGGAACTCATAAATAATAAAGATATTGTTACTTGTGTCACAAGTGTCACTGCTAAACGATCACTGTTTTTATATAATTGACGGTTTTAGGTTAACTACCAACAAAAATGGCATAAGTAGAGTTATGTCAAAACTATTTTTTCATAAAAAATGTTATATTTTTTTAATTAAAACAAGGTATTGCTAAATATTAATTAATTGTAAGCCATTAAACTGTTTACGTTGAATGTTTCACGTAAATTTAAAGATATTCAGATCCGTTATTGTCTTCTATTGAGAAAATGTGTGTAAAATATATTTCGTAAATACATTTTTTCATTTTTACGATGATTATACGTTTAAAAATAGATACTGTTTCTGTATTATTATCATTAAAGTAAATATTGCTTAAAAATATTTAAATATAAATGCAGGTATAGGCATTAAAAATACCAAAAAAATAAAAATATACTAAAATATAAAAAAAAAGAAAAAGAATAATAAAAATCATGTTGAAAATGTCTTAAATATGCTCTAAATATGTACGAAATCCTTAAAATACTCTTTATAAAATATCCAAAAATATCAATATATGTAAAATTATGCAAAATAAAATGCTGTATATTGTTAGGTCATATCTGCAACGCTTTTTGGTATAAACTAGCGATTTTTCGAACCAACCAATAAAAATAAATAAATACAGATATAAAAAGATCAGCTCAAATTATCAAAGACCTATTAACTATTCACTAGTTACTATAGTAATCAGTTATAGGGGAAATAATCATTATTCATTATCAACAAGTGCAATTATTGTTTAACCAGACAAGTAAAAACTATAAAACTAAATTCGAATAAATTATATATTTAAATAGCTATAGGACATGAAAATTCAAATCAGGGATTCAAACCTGAGTAAACCGGTTATCTAAGAAAATGTATACGAGCCTATACACGTTAAGTCGTTAACTTACGATTTCAAAAACAAAAACTCTTTGTGAAACCAAGATAATTTTTTGAACGATTAAAATATTATGTGTTTTTAACAAACTGTTCAGCAGTTGGGAAATTTAAATTTAACATTTGACAAAATTATAGGTTTTCTTTACAGTTTTTAAGTGAATTTTGATTAATTGTATTAGTTAAGTTGATCATGGTTTTAAAAACTTTCAAATCAAATGGAGTTATCATCGTTCCTATTATCGAATAATTGGATTTTTATTTTAGCGTGAAATCGTGCCATAAAAAAGTGTTTTTCCTGTGTTTATTAGGTTTTTTTTTTGTATTTTTTTATTTATCGTCTGCTTTAATTTTATCTGCTATTATAAAGTGATTACAAACATTAAAACTAAATTGTTTATGTATGTCTCCAGAGTCCTAAATGTTAATTTTTCAAATAAGTATTTTTAAATTATATTTTCAAAGAAAAAATTAAGAAAAAGAACATTAGGACATTAAGAACATTATTAACTGGTTACTTAAACCGAAACAAATTATAGAAGGACGAAAATTATTAAACGAAAAAAACCATTTCGGTTTGAAACCCTGATGAAAAATGATAATTACTTTTCGTTTAAATAATATGATTGTCTCGCGTACGATTATACACGATAATGGTAGATTAAGTAAAATAGTCTATACAGTAAATTTAGTATATTATCAATGGCAACTATTGTTATAGTTATAAAGTTATTAGTGTACAAATATTATTGTGCTAAATTTACGAAAAACAATAATACTGAGTTTAGTTTTTTCACTGCCTTTGTATGTCACGCCGATAATGCGTAGAATTAGATACATAGGTATTGACAATTTTGTTTTTTTTTTTTTTTTTATTGATTCCAACACAATGCGAACTATTTGACTTACACGTGGCAGTCAACTATACAAACAGTATATTATGTAGTGCGGATTAACGAGATTAATCTAAGTAAAATTAAACGGGATTAATAGTTTCATAGACATTTTGCTCGTTGTAGAATTTTTATGATTTATCTAAACAGGAACCGTTCACTTATGTGTTCGAAAAACAAAAATTACTCTGTAAATATCGACCTACTTTTTTTTTCTCTAAGAATATTTTACTCGCTATAGTAAGACGTTATTTCTAGCTCCGTATATATTATTGCGAGGAAATTATTTCATATAATATTATATTATATTATTCATTTTTTTTTTTTTAACGTAACAATATTATAACGGATACCTGGGCACATACAATAATATTCTGCAATAGATACTTTAGCCTCGTCTATTCCATGTAAACAAACTCGTACCTACGTAGCACAACTACGCCATAATAGCTTTAGGAATCTAAAACTACAATATAATAATACAATATCGATAACTAATCAACCGGATTACCTTGTATTGAAAATCATTAACTTGATAATTACTATTATTGCATATTATATAATTGCGCACAAATTCGTATCTACCTATATAGAGTCGCGACACAGACATGTAAAAATGTTGGCGATCGAATTGCATTATTCCCATTAAATATTATTTTCGGAAATATCCATAATAATCATTGAATCTATTAAACGTGGAATGTTGCATTTGATTCGTCGTACGTCATAACGTGTAATTATTCAAATATAAATATAGGTACCCGAGTGTTTGGTTTTTATAGTATTTGTACATACCTATGCATACGTCATAATATGTAAAAAAATCAATTGCGATTCTCCGTTCCCGTTTTTCCCCGGGGGACCAGTGGCGCACCAAACTATGATGGTTAAAGTGTCGTATTCGCCAAACATGTTTTATGTATGCAGATTGGCGTTGGTGGTTCTATATGATTATAGGATTGCGTTGTAAAGATCGATTAGCACGCATCAAGTCTTTACTAATTAATCGACAGCGACGCCGTGTCGTCGTGCCGCGTGTTTTTTGTCGTATCATTCTGATTGGCCGTTGTAATCTCGGTAAAATTCAGCGACCAAGACCTCTATCTAGCCAACCGCGAAATTCCAGAGTTGAACTGAACTCTTCTCTCGTTCAGATTACAGTGGTCATTGATTTTTCAGTGTTATCTACGTATCCGTAAGTATCCGTACTTATTCTATTCTATGGACGTCGCTGCTAGAATTCCCCAAACATTTATCGCATTGGTATAAGTAGAAAATCGATGTCATAATATTTACTCCGATAATTTGATTTTTTTTTAACGTATAAGTGTGTATTCAGTGGCGTATCGTTGGTATGTTACCCGCAGTGGTGAGTACCAGCGTGTGTATTCAATGGTACATGAAATGTATTATTTAATGTACTAGTGTAATATAAATGATGTTAAATATTTTGTTACATTTAATTGAGCTAGTATGGTTTAAGTTAACATTTAGGACATTATCCTCTTTACAACGGTAGAAGGTTTGGACCAGCCAATAAACACCTGATACGGCTATTATTGGTAGCAGAATTATGTTAATCTCGAACATTTCGTAGAGGAACGTTTTATGATAAAAACACACCAGTATCTTTTGCCACACCACCAAAATTCACACGCTGTACTCGTGCAGATAAAATTTACACTGCGAAATACATGCAATTTTCGTTATCTACGACACTGGTGATACTAATCATTTTCATGTAGTTCGTACATTAGACAATCGTTTTTATTTTTCTATTTTTTTGATACAAAAAAAAAAAAAAAAACTTATTCACAAATCGTTTTATAAATGTAGCGATAATTAAATAATAACATTACAAATCAAGTGGGTGATATTGCTTACGGAGCGGTCCGTCGGAAAAATTCCCGAATTCCCGGCGGGTCAATCTGCCCCTGAATTATTAGAAAAACCTACCTAGTTTGAAAGACACCGCGGACGGGTTTTAGAGTTTATTTCAATAATAAACGATATAATAAGCTAACGGTTTTTTTTTTTTTGTATATACGTTACAGAATATCACCGTACACGCATCCCGAAGAACGGATGGAAAAAAAAAATCAAATCTTAAGTGGGAATATAATATTAAATGGCTTGCGGCAGTCATAATAACAATTCCATAATGCGTATTAACGTAAAACCATGTGCGTGCGCGATTAAAAACAAACGGTTATAACGCTCTGTGGGCCAGTCGGCGCGCGTCGTTTACGGGCGGATGCCGGTGAAATAATGTCATTACGACGTCCACTTGAAAATGAGAAAACCCATACACATAATATTTGTCAGCCGCAGCCGTAACGTCGTTTACCGGTCGAACGAAATCGCATTTAACGCGCCATTATTCATACACACGATACGGAACAATACGCCTGTAAACACTTACCCCTTGGCCTTTATTCGCGAACGGAATGTCCAAAAATGATATTATCCTGAACGAGTTAAAACACACAAAACGCGCGCACAACCACCGTTCGAGTATCGTGCGCACACCGAAACGAAGAACCGCACGGGATCGACTAAACGTGCATAATATTTTCGAAACGCGGTTTTGCACACGCGTGTACGTTTATACCCACCTGAAACCGAGCGAACAAAACATTTTGTTTATCGAAACGAGCACGGTTTCATTAAATAACTCGACCACCTATATGCGCGGAGCGATAACGCCAGCGGGTTAGCGCGAGTTGCGTTATCATTTTTATCGTATTCGGTGCCAGGCACCTACAACATAATATTATAAGGTTATAGAGCGTGGCTATTGTTATCTCGGCACTCGACGTCGGACGCGAAAATATTTATTAAATTTAATAACTAACAGTAATAGTATTATATTATGCGTTATCAGGTGTATCATAGCACTATTAACGTTACAATAATTAATTGGTCCATAAAAATATATTTAAATGATTACGGACGACATTATTTGGTTTACATAATATTCGAGAAGAACAAAATATTATCTTAATTCACTTTCGCCGCGATGACAACAAAATCGATATTATCCAAACAATAACGACTCATGAATGAGCGCGAAGAGAGAAAAAAAACCACCTTTATGAACAACGCAATAAAGCTCGAAATTGAACCTATGGAATATACCTTCCAAAAGGAAATTACGGAATTGATTGCTGGGTAAAAAAAAAACTATTCGAATTGGTTCCCGAACGTGAAAATAGGTTTAGACATCAAGTTTTACCGATCTTGTAAAACTTGTTAATCAATCCGTCAAACACAAACCTTAAAGTATTGCCTATAGCTAATCGGTCCAGCCATAAGTCTGTATTTGTAAAACGGTGGGAAAATTGACGTTGGTTTGTGATTCTGTTTTTGTTATTGAAACTATGGTTCATCGGAACCAATTCGTAAATTATGTCACCTGTAAACCAACCGGGAATCAACTCGTATAGTGTCTATTCCAACAGGAGTACAGGAAACAATCTGAAACGGTTCACCTGGATATCCCTGAATAAACTCAGAGTGGGAGTATGTAGATTTAAAGTAACCTAAAATAAATTGGCCATTATACATGCATAGAGAATTAAAAAAAAAAAAAATTATATTTTATAATAACGTAATATTTTCAACACTTAAATAAATTATGAGTTATTAATATTTGAATTGCATCCACTCATAGAGAAATTGGTCGTTTCGTGAAAATAACGAACACCGTTAGTTTACGGTTATTATAGTACGGAAAAAATAATTTTACTGAATGCCTAATGGACCCTAATGGACATTTGCATTTTTATGATAAATATATTTTTTTTAAAACCTTTTTACAATTAACCTTTTATTTAAAAAAAAAAAAAAACAAAAAAAACAATGATCATATTATCGGAGAGTTATAAATAATCAGTAATTTATGATACCGATTGGCCATATCAATAGCACGCAACAAAATATTATAAAACGGTTTTATAATAAATTAATTAAATATACTCATCCTATATCTTTTTAATGGACCGCAGAGCCAAAATTCTATATCAACGACTGCAATTGTGGAATATGATGAATCCCGGTATCTTATCATCGCATAGACGCCATAAACCGATAATGCATTAACAGCTTGTATGTAATATGATAGATGGTGAAAAATAAACTAAATCTACCATAGTCCTAATTGCACACAATGCTACAAAGCAATTTTTTAGAAGTGCCGCGGTTCGTATATCATGGGACATATTATTGTAGCCTCCGTCGAGTTTCATTCTTGTTGTCTAGTCGTCTTAACCAAGTATACCTAACCTTAACATACGATAGAAATAATATCATCTGGTAATAATGAGCCCATACACTACTTACACAATATTGTTCACGTTTCAAAGTATACATGATGAAATTGTTATTATTATATTCACGTTTAGACGAGTAAATCAGTTGAAACTTATATTTTCATAATAATAAAACAATCAATTTTGTCACAGCAGACGGATGAATAAGTTACCAACGGATAAGATTTTTTACCCACTTCTGATACATAATATACTCAGTTTTATGTAAAAAGTATTTTATATTCTTTCAACAGCCCACCAAAAATGAAGAAAATTAGAAAAAGATGATTTACTAAGGGCGGGTACGTGTGAAAAAAAAGTGATTGAAAACGACCCCGAGGATAAAGGGAAAAGGTGGATGGACTGCAATATAAGAAATTCAAAGCTAATAGAACCGAACAATCAATACAAGGAAAGAGGATAAAGATAGGTGACAGTAAATTTGTTTTTTATGTTCTGGCCGAAACCAAAGAACGTAATTATTTAGTATTGTTTGTTTAGTTTAAAGTAACCGCTTACTTTTCTCCCCTTTCTGTCGTCAACAGAAATTATTTTTTGTTTTTTTTTTTTGAGTGGACGAGGGTTTGGGAGGTTCATTGTGCAAAAATTTTGCACGATTTTACTCTGGCACATAAATAATAGAATTAATAATTTCCCCGAGATAATATTGAAAAAAAAAAAAAAAATTATTTTTAACCTTTTATATTTTATATTACACTACCTATTTAAAACTTTGAAATCCACTCGAAAAATGTTAAAATTGTCTAGGGTGTCTGATGCGTATCAAAAAATGTAAAGAGTTACTTGTTCAACAAAAGTAGGTATGCTGTAGAAGTGAAGGTGACATCTCGAAAAAAAAAAAAAGATAAAGTATAATATAATAGTGTTCAAGCGCTACACTGGTTACTACACACCGCGGTCTGTAAAGTAAAAGGGCCGTAAAATAAACAAATTTTACAAGACTCTTATTTTACGAAAAACCGATAAATATTTTATTATGTTGGTAGTTTATCTGATATATTGTAAATAGCACCGATTAGTAAACAACATCAATTTAAATGTAAAATTATAAAATAAAAAAAACAAATAAATTGAAACAAGATAAAAGTAAATCCCGACATTAATGTAAACAAGTATTATCGTTGTTATTACAAAATTGTGTCGTTATCACAATGCGATAATGCACGAAATATTGTAGGTCAAATTATTATAATAACCATTTTTTAAAATATAGTTAGTTCGTTCCTATACTACGACGGGTTCGTATCAGTCTCGAATAACCTTAATTCCGTTCATTTTGCTAACTTGCATATTAATTCCAACTGCGCGGTTCTGTTACAAGTACCCCTTTCGGAATTGTGTTACGTTTCAAAATAATCAAATTTAATCCCAATACACAATAGGTTATAAATTCCATTTCAATGTGCGTATTTAGTGTTGTGTATTATACGAATTATACTGCCTACTCTATATAAAGTTAAGATTTCACGGGGATAAAACGCGTAAATAATATATAAGCAATATTAATATTAATAACTTTTCGAGATTTGGTTTGTAAAATTAAATCGCTCAATATTAAGAGTTACGGAGATTTTTATTTTACGTACAATTTTTTAGTTTATATAATTGAAAATAAAACAAAAACCGTACAGGAAAATTGACCATTAATAACAAATGATTATTGCGATGCTCGTATATGCGATTCGAATAAACGAAGACAGAACAATATTATTAATATAACCAAGACTTGTTCTAAGGATGTCTGACTAATGCCCAAAATAAACAATTTTTCAAAACGCCTAAAAAAATGTCATAAGTAGCATAAAAACGTCTTCGATTTAAATGAGACACGAGTACGTTATATAGGTATATCGTACACGTACGCAACTGATGGGAATGGTATTTTTTATTTTTTTATTATATTATATACACATAAATATGAAATAATAATTAGCCGACCCACCCAACCGACAGCAAATAATTGGAATGAAGGCGACGAAGAAGTCACATGACGTTATATAATACAAACTTTATTACAGAACTAAACAGGGGGCGAGGGGTCTATGAGTTAGTTGAAATTAACTTCAAGTGCAAACGATTTTCGATCGATTTAAAAATGAGCACCTGATCGACCTCACTCCCGAATTCATGGATCCAACTACACTTATTTTGGTATCTCCTACTAGAAAATTTTGGGTGGTCCTATACTGCCCGTTATAAGACCCGATATTATCGACACAGACGGTATCATTTGACAAAACGGTAAAAGAAATTCCAGGTTTTTATTATATACCCAGGTACATCTAGACTATCGTACATAGATAAACGCACCTATAATCATATTATGTATGTCGTAGGTTTTTTTTTTATATATATATATATTTCGTGAGAGAAAAAGACGATTTTTTACGCTCCGTTAAGTATTTTGACGAATAGCCGTGTAACACGACATAATTCTACGGCCATAATAATATTATATCTGTATAATATACACATAAAATCTGATTTTAAAACGTATAAAATCACCGCCGTACAATGTTTCGCTGACATTTCCCACCGTCCGCGTCGTAAAAACCTACCGAAGGGTCACACTCGACGTTGTATAATTGCATGCGGCTATAGACCTTTGGGTTTTGTGGCCGGTGATGCAGGGATAGAACTCGTTTCGTGTATACTACACGACAATATTGCAGTAATATACAGTCTGTAGATTACGTTTCATTAAAACGAGCATTGTCCGCGTCCCCCTTGTATTCTTGTCGCGCCCAAAAGTAAAATTCTAATATTCGAATAACCCTTTTCGACATTGCTCTCGCAACCGTACTGTATTCGACCGGTTCCGGTTTGTAGGCGTTGTTAAATTCCCGACATTTTCAAGACGAAAGGACTTCCGCGGAAATCGTTTTTAATTTCTGAAACGCAATACCGTCGTAACAACAACCCGTGACAGTGTTTTGTGCAATTGTTTTGCTCTTGAAATTATAGTTTTGGCCTACGTGAATTCACGTATTTGACCTATGACGATGCGTTCGCGACATTTCGCAACATAATATATTCGTGTGTGTGTATGTGTGTGTGTGTGTGTGTGTATATGATGATGATGATGATGACGTGCCAAAACCGGAACACATCAATTATTATCAATCACTGGCGAGAAGTCGATACGTCGCGCCAGCACTGCAGAGTAGGTATATTATAATCATTTTGTTTTGAAACTTCGGCACGCATTCGGTTGGTTGCTCAAGTGATAAACCATCTGTCAAAACGATCTATAGAAGAAGATTTAACGTCCATATCCGTTACGTTAAAAGAGTCGACAATATTTTTTATAAGTCGTCGCCGATTTGTAAAACCTATATACAAAACAGACAGCGGCCGTCGTCGCGGGCGTAAATTCGGATTTCCGTTGCTCGTCGTCGATATTATGCGCAGCCAACCCGAACGCGTTATCACGAAAACAATATGCGCACGTCGCGCCCATTGATTGCGCTCCGTTAAACCGCGTAAACCATATACCTATAGACATATTTATCAACGATATTTTCTGAATTCCAGAATTTTTCATTCATTCATTGTCCGCAATAGTCACCCAAAAATCACTGATACGGCAATTGTCGACGGATATTTTGTTCAGTCGTTCTATACATATATTATATACATGGTGTCCCGCGGAGATGCGCCCATTGGTATATCCCGGAAAACATTAACTTTTTTGACAATTTAAGACATAATAAAATGGTTTAAATCCTTTTTGTATGGTGAAACGACAACCTATACTTTTCATTTGCAACAGATATTGTAACCTATAACCCGTAAGGGTTGACGAAAATCAAAAATGTCAACATCAAAATATACATAAACGTTTAAATCAATCTATTAATTTATTACAGATTTCCATTTGACTCGTTTTAACGAAATTTTACCCTATTTATGACAAACGATAGTGATACTATTATCAACATTTCCAAACATTTCAATAATGTATCAAGTAAGTATATATATTGATGAGCTTATGAGTTTAAATAGTTGAAAATCTAGACCAGATACGTAAGGAAGGGTTATCATTATTTTTACTGGATATAAAATTTATCGCCCGATTAAACGGTTCTGTATTATAATAACAACCGGGAAAAATGTCCTCGCAATCTTCACACAGATATTATAATCGCTGGACCGTGTTAAAAAAAAAACTTACCCTCTGTGCTATGTATATTATTTAGGTCGGGCCTAACAGATCTGTTTAGCTTCGGGTCTTCGTTATTTTATTACGAAATATCTATTACGTCAGGGGAAAACGATACACACACGAATGGTATTCGTATTATATATTATATTATTGTTTTTCAATAAAAACGTCCTCGACGAAGAACGTCTGGTTTTTTTATTTACGTCGGATATAAAAGAATACCGCATATTGATATTCGGTTTAAGCGCTTAAAAATAGCCGAGGCCTTCGAAAAATATTACGACAAAATATGTGACTGCGTACACGCCTAACGCATAACGCAGATGCTGCATGTACCGTGTCCACATCGTAATATCTCGTGGATCGTTATTGTCCGGCCATACGAAAAATAAACAAATGATACGTCGGTATCTATTCATATACGGGCAATGGACATAAATATTGGGCATACTCGCGGTTTCCCAAGATTTCGTAATAATAATATCGATAATAAACGACCCGTTACTCGAATCGCTTGATAACATTATCGTATATTATTGTCGGCATATTAATATTATTTCGTTGATAATTTATTAATTAATTTATTGATTTTTGAAATGAAAATCTTGTGAATATTTTTGGAATAAAAAAACATAAAGAAGGCAAATACGAAATACGATCAAACAGAGAACTTAACGCTTTATTCCACTAATGCTAATATATAGTAGCCACGCTCAAAAACCAGAGATTAAAGTGGGCCGGACATATTGTATGGAAGACAGAGGGCCAACGTATACGGAATATTACAAAATGGAAACCCAATAAAAGTCTACAGAGAGAAAGACCAAGACAACGATGTAGGAAGGCCGAGTCAAAGAGGACCTTAGATTTTTAGGAGTATTAAATGGTGAAGAGCTAGCAAATCATAGAGACCAACGGAGGAAAATTGTGGAAGCGACAATGGAACTAAATGGCTTGGATCAGTGGCGTGCCCGGGAATTATTAACGGGAAAGGACGTAACAAATAAAAATCGCAAACAAAAAGTAAAATCGTCTTCTTTATACCCAAATCGAATATGGAAATTGGTAATTTAAAAGCCAGATTTATAAAAATTATAATAATAAAAAATATCATTATAATTTATATCACGCGTTATTCTATTTAGTAATCTGTAACACAGAGTCGTATTATATAATAGGGTATTATAGGCGTACACGGTTTTCGTCCAAACTGAATCCTTTCAAAGTTACTGGGAAACATAAAAATTACTACACGTCCGATAATAATAATAAAAAAATAAAAAAAATTAAACCATTAAAGCAGTAATGTTCAAACGGACCTTTTAAGGAACGCGAGTAATAATTTCAGTTTGAGAACGCTGCAGCAGTTACACTGCGAGTCTCGTCGTTTCCATCGTCGTCGTGAGTCATCGCAGGATATTTCACTACAGGGTAACCGGTAACCACTAAACGCGTAACTGCGTCGCCTGCGGTAGCGTGTAAAAATCAATGTTATTCATATGGCACAACGCAATATTACGCGGTCCGATTAATTCCCACGGAAATCTCGATTACAATAAATTACACCAACAACAATAATAATAATAATAATAATAATATACTGTTGTACTGATTATTCCTGTACATTCGCGTTTTGTTTTAAACGTCAAAACATACGACATTTTACGTTTGTTAAACGTTAATCGTCGTTCGCGTAATCGTACGGAGCCCAGAAGTTTTTTTGTGCGTTTTGTTTATAACGATAAAAAAACCTATGTAAACATTTTTAAACTATAATGCACAAATCAAAAGACGAAAAAAAAACTGAACTGCAGTAACGCGTATTATTTTATTATTCACTAGTTTGATATTTTTCATCGACCATACACGGTTTTATGTATAAAAGACTGGTTCTTGCTGCGGTAGTCACTATCGCGATAGTTCCTGTCATGAACCATTGTCATGTGCGATAGTAACTAATAATAAATTATTACGTGGTAAGAGTGGTTCTCAACTTTTTTTAAACTGCCCCCCCCCCGAGGAGCAAAATATTTTTCAACACCCCCACCGTTAAAATTAAAATAAAAGTAGTACACGTGAAAAGTTTGTAATTAAATAATAAATACAGATTGTAAATACTATGTTTAAGTTCAACGGATAAATGCAATTGAATTGAATAATTAAAATGCTTTGCAATAATTGTATAAATCATTGAGATGGTTGTGCTTGGTGATTTAAAGGTAATTTTTTTACATTTGGTTCAATCCTTGTGAGATGGAGGCTGAAGTTTTAATGTAGATACATGCTCAAAAAATTCACCTACGGCCCAAAACTAGTTCACCGCCCCTCGATAACCCCGCGGTGTCGCCCCAGTTGAAAACCACCGGTTTATAGTTGTATACTATCTTGAGAGCGAGTTACTATTAACACCACACGGACAAACTGTCGTTTTATTTTACTGTCGCGACGGCACTCTTGCGGACGATTCGAAAATTCTACCGAAATCTACTATACATTTTTATCACGTCTCCTGCTATGTATAATCTCTTGTGATTCACTTATCGCGGCACCAACAAACACGGTGTAACTGCAATCGCGCGGACCGACCTTAAAATTAAACACAAGTCTAACGCGAGCGGAAACGTCGTTTTCACTTACGGTTCAATCGAATCGATCGTTTCCTTTCTTTAAATCCTCGAATTGTATAACTAAACAAACGTCCTGTCGTCGTCGTCGTAAACAAATAACGAACAAGCGATCGTTTAAAACGTTTTTTTTATTTTTATTATTAGGTATTATTTTTTTTTTTTTTTTAAATCTACATGTTATATTATTGGTTATTTAGCCACTGTAGTTGTTCATCGCCGGGATAATATGAAATTAATATCGAGACAGCTCTGCCCCGTCGTCGTAGTTGGGTCAGACGACCTTTTGTAATTTGAAACATACCGATAGAATTACAAAAAAAAAAAAAATGAAAATGAAAATAATTAAAAATATACCTGTATTATATACTCAGAAGAATTAATTTTCCGCAACAGTGACTGTGTAGTCGCCACTGTAGTGGACGACGGCGAAGTATATTAAAACGATACTATAACATAAATAAATGGCGCCGTATATTGTACCGCCAGAGCCCGCGACTTATATTAATAATACGGAAAAAATGTAACAAATCATTCGATAAACGACATTCGTGCACGTGGACACGGAGACGAGCTATTTCTAGAGCTTGACGACGATTAAAGGGCACAACGTACCGAAATAAACAGGGGGCGCATAATGCGGCAGCATCAGCACTGCAGGCGTATCACGATATTATTATTTTTCGGTTATGAATTCTCGACATTCGTCCGACCGGAATTGTTCAGTTTTTGTCGGCAAACGCAAAATCACAAAAAATAATATCGGATTACTCGATTCGTGTAATTTTAAACGCCGGGCCATCATCGATTATATTGTATTTTGATCTCTTGTTGATTTTATAAACGGTCGGTTTACTGCGGGTACCTGTATCTTTGGTACGGGAAAGAAGGACTTGAGCGGATTTTCTAAAGTTTTCACCGCAGTCAAATTAAGCATTGCTAAATTACTACATTATCGAATCGCTATAATCAAAACATGCATTATTTTATTGATTGAAGGTATTTTAATTTTCAATAGATATACAATGTATCCTTGGACCAATCGTTTATTTACTCTATATGATACGGCAATAACGAAAATTGATGAAGACCAGCAAACTGCGATTGGCTTCAAAAATCAATCTACAACGTTTCCAACTGAACAAAACACGTTGGAAGATCGAAATTAACAGCGAGAAATCTGTGCACGTAATTCGTAAACTACAACCTGCGTAAAACCGTTTATAAACCAGTATTGTTGGATCAGCAGATTATCGTGTGCACCTTGATTCTCGACTAAACTGTAAACACCGTGTTCGTCAGAGAAAACTGCAAATTAAGAAGAAAATGAGACAACGATATCGGCTGGTCAGAAGACATTCTGAACTAGAACTTACAAGTAAACGTTCATTGTACGTAATGATAATTAAATCAATAGGGATTTATGGAATACGACTGTGAGGTTGTGCCAGGAAGTCCTACATTGAGATTATTCAACGCTGTCAGAACATCGCTCTCCGTACCATTATCACAGCATACACGTATGACAGAAACGACATTAACCACCGAGATATGATGATCACCTCAGTTATCATGGTCCAGGACGATATTACTAAGTTTGCCCGCAAACATGAGATAAAGCTGGATCAACACATCAATATCCAGTAACAATTAAACTACTCGACAACTCTCAAGACATAATAGGCGTCTCAAACGCAGTAGACTTAGTATAAGATTCTAAGACTAAGGTTGGGGCCACCCCACTGGAAGTGAGACTCCTCACGTGTGATTTTTTTGTATATAAATATATCACAAGTATTCATGTACACATTCGAAATGTTTTGTTAAGGATCTTCGATCGGTTATAACAAAAGCTATCTGGCAGTTTAATTAAAAAAAAAAAAAAGTAAATATTTAATAACGCGTGTTAGAACATTATATACATACGCTTACGCCGTTTAGACAGAAAAAAAAGGGAACAAATCGCGCGAGACGAAATTATAAAAACAAATTGCGAATAATCGACTTAAGCCTCGCTTTCTCGCGGGACCAAAAACGTTATAATATTATAATATACGATTCGAGACGGGTACTAAATATTATAATGGTTCGTATACGATTGTCTCCGACGCAGGGTTTTCAAGATCTCGTGACAATATTTTACTGCGTTTCAATAGTCTTTATCGACACCTATACGTACCTAATTTCACATAAAAACGTTCATAAACGGCGTAAGTAAACCGCGAAAAAATATCGTTCAGGGGTAGGGTGCCATACGTTTTAATAATAAACTCGTTTGGGGTGGCGTAATAAAATGGGTATAGTGCGCCCCGTGCTCGTAACCACACACGTCCCGGGACAAACGCGACGATTGGGGATTCGGCCAGCCCTCGCGATACGTTCGATAAAACTTCGTTACCAAAAGACGTTTTATCCCTTGGTGTAATAGTGTACAACGGATAGAGCTATAACCGCATAGGCGTGCGCAGACCTTAATAGCAGGATGGGCGAAAATGTTGTTAATCTAATATTAATAAATATTTATATTATAGTGAATTTAATAAGTACCCATAACAATACAAAAATCCCACTAGGCTTTGTTCTTATATTCTCATTATTAATCACAAAATAATACATTGCCATTAGTATAAAAACAATAATTAATGATAGCGAACTGGATCATTTTGTTCACGTCACATATTCGTAATGTATTGTTATCATATTTATATCAGTTACGAACTTATGAACACGATCACCTGAAAAATGTAATAATATTAAAGGGGGGGGAAGCTGTTCACCCTGCTCCCACACGTGCACACGCCTATATGGCTATAAGCAATAAAACGTGTCGCCAACACACCGAGAGAGCATCTCACTTTTGCGCGTGCACGAAGTACTGTTATCAGTCTTATCATTACGTACCTGATAAAATATCATCGAAATATATAAAATATTATCGAACATCCAATATGGGTTTTAACGGTATATTATGCAGAGGGCGATGCATGCACAGTAGCTACGCGCCCTCTTGATATGTAGGCGACATACTATTGTTTCGCATGGGGTATAGCCGTAGCTCTATCCATTGTGTACGATCTAAGTTTCATCCGTTTAACAAAAAAAGACTGTACCCGCGTACGTTGCGTGTAGACTTAAAAAAAAAAAAAAAAAAACTTACGGTATAATTATAAACGTTTTGTCTTTTTTGTTATTTTTTAAAGTAGAAAAAAGCTATGCGCAGCTTCGCGCCCATCAAACGCGCCTTACATTATATCGATCGAAATGCCGACACAATATTACGCAAGAGTAAAACGACACATATAGATACGTATGATGTAAAGTGGCTTTTTATTAATATTCATAATTATTAACACGGCAATGCGGTTTCTGCACACCATAAATAAAACGAAAACAACGTATTTTTACCATCGCGATCGATTACATAATCGGTTCGAATTTCTTGCCTTTTGTTTAACGATGTTCTTGATTTTAAACTCGAAGCGCAGTCACGAGGAATGCGTTGGCTTAACAGTGATGTTTTATTTTAATTTTGTCTAGCTGGTACTTTGGATAAACAATTTTTTGATTTTCCAAGCGGTTTCCGTAATAATTAGGGAAGCACGTAGGAAAATCTGGAAAATGTACGTACATGTATGTTAAAAGAAATTTCGCTCCGAACCGCTATTCGTTAGCAATGGTTTATTACGGGTACAAAATATGAAAATTTTCTCTACAGTGTCCCGTCGAAGATATACCCGCATTGCAATATCTCCCGGGACAATAAAGATAATACAATTCTGGTTTTTGTGTAAACTCGCAGAGATAAGGACTACAAGTATTTACTTTTAAATTACATTTATATGTTTTGGTAAAAAACTAACGTAATTTATTATTTTTGAAAAATTTGAAAATAACCATATTATAGAGTCTATTTATTTGAAAATGTTGATGTTCCAACCGTTTTCTTAAAATTTTTATAAGTAATCGTACTCGAATTTAGGTGGAGGGGGAGCGAGAACTTTCAAAAATGCTATTTTTACATACATCCCAGCTTCTAATCTTGCATAAAGGACGGCGGTTATGGACATCTAGGACGTTGAACTCTCTGGAGGGGGTTTTTTTTTTACACTTTCGCATCCCCCTTTTTTTAACGATGTCGTTGCCCGATTCGTGCACGGCGCGCTTATACGTAAGCACCACCCCGATTACCGGTGCCTGCAGGTAAGAAAACCGATGAGGGAGTGCGCGTGATTGGAGGGCATCTCCCGTGTCGGCTCAAAAATACAACCGTACGAGTATGTAGCGATTTTCCCTCGGGATTATATACGTCATTGTTAAGGTAATTACTACACTTTTTCAAGTAAAGCAGTGGCGTAACATTCCGTTAAGGGATGATGTGAACATTTATTAAACAACACAACTAATATGCGTACTATACACCATGCGGTTGATAAAAGCTCGATGACAATTTTCTTTTTCGAGACCCGCCTATTAATGAGTGTGTTGTCGTCCCAACGGCCGGCCGTCGGAACGCGACAGAAGAACGCGGCGGTCCCTCTCTCTCGTTCGCGAACCGCGACTATTTATATTATTATTGGCCGGCTGCTATGGTATCATGCGTCGTCTCCCGCGGTCGGAGATTCCCGGGTACGGCGCACGGAGGATCGATACCGGTCGCGGCGGTATTTTGGCGGGAAATCCGATCAAGGTTTACCACCGGCCGAAAACACCGGTCGCTACGGCCGCCGCCGCAGATATTAACGCGTAATACAATATCGCGACGGCGGCGACGTGTACGACGATAATAATGATAATGGAAGAAGAGAGAGAGAGAAAACGCGCGAAAAAAAAATAAAATAATAAAGGCATTTCGTACTCACCAAACCGGTCGTCGTCATTCCTCCAGTCACGCCGAGATCTCCGGCGGCGCCGAGGGCATTACGATAACGGCGGCGGCAACGGCACCGTAATAATAATAATAATATTATCCGGCTTTAATGGTACCCGTGTGTATTACGTATTGCCGTTGTTGTTATTACGGTCGTCGATTAATAACAACCGGGCGGCGGTTATTAACACGTCCCTAGTCCGCGGGCGGCGGCACTGCACTAAACGGGACGCGGGCGACGACGGCCACGCGCGGTCGCTGTTCGGACGCGGTGTGCGCGACGGCGGCGGAGTCGTTGCCGCGGCCGTTCGACAGGGACCCGGCGGCGGCGCGCGCGCCGTGTACTCGCTATATACGGTCGCGCGGACGACGGCGGCGAACGTAGCAGACGACGACGACGACGACGACGACGTCACGGCCGCCAGACCGACAGCTGGTGCTCCGCCGCGGCCGCCGCCACCACCGCGGCCGCCGGACCATTATCGTCGTTACGGGGCGCACGCGCCATGATATTATTGTTGTTGTTCTTCACGCGCCGCCCGTGTGTTCGCGTCGTGTGCGTGTTCGGGTGTGTGCCGTACCCGGTGCTGCACCTCCCGCGCTCGGGTGTGCGCGCGTATATTTCGTATATAACGTATACAATATTGTATATATATACCTGCGGCTCGACGCACGTTAGGGTGGTATAGAGGCTGGCCGCGACTGTTGTAGGGACCGTTAACACCGGAACAGCTGCTGCTGCTGCTGCAAAAAAAAAAAAAACATCAAAATCACACGGTTTCGCATCGCACGCAACGTCATATATTATGTCAGTAGTGCGCATAAGGTACGATAATGCTAATAACAATCATAACAATAATTATAGGCAGTAAAAATCGTACAACCGCAAAACACCGCACGGGGACCGTAAAACACGTCCGAACCGGGAGCCGTACAGGCATTCCGGGCGTCCGGTTCAGCGCGTAGGAACGGGCGCGGAACCGATTCCGCCGAAATAACTTTGTTTTGGCCGTAAACAATTTATCGGATGCGCCGGACGTTTGGACACGTCGATTCTGATTATTAATAAAACATTTTTTTTCACCTACAGTAGACGTACAGATCGTTCACTGACAATATTGTCGTTTGAGAATTCGTTTTTTACACGGCGCAATCGGTGGCGTACAGCTATAGAACTTCTAATGCCCGTCGCAAAATATTGTACGGAGGCCCCGGAAAAAAGTAATTCAAAATTACCATCACCTGTGTCCAATAATGCCTCGGGCCTTGGTCTAGGCCGTTGCTAAGGCCCTCGTCGGTCGCCCACCTTGCCCATCCGATATTTACGCCGACGGGCGTAACGCGAGCCGCGCAAAAGATTACAACCGTTACTCGATCACCCCGTGATTATCGTATTGACATTATTGTATTATTGTATTGTTGTTAATTGTCTATTATTCGAACGCGAGACCGTCACCGGACAACGTAGACACGCAGTTTCGTTTCCGATTTCCGGTTTACCGAGATCATTAAACTTCCATCCGTCGCGCAGACCGCGACACGGAACCGACGCGATAATACGCGATCTCCGGTCGGATAAATACCACGCGTAACAACTATTCGTGTTACCCGCGGACTTGGTCCGTTTTCACCCGTCCGTACTGTTTAGCGGGTGCACACGTTGCGCGTTTTGGTCCGATTCAGCGCCCTCTTTCGCCTAACATTTCGACTTTCACCCGTTATTGTACCCGTTTTAGGGGTGGAATTTTCGACGATCCGCCATCCAGCGAGGATCAGTGAGTAAGTCGGTTTCTTCTCCGATCCGTTCAGCGAAATTCGGCATTCAAAGTTTCTGACCTGTTTGTTCTACCTGCGTACGTACATTAATTGTGTAATCGGAGTCGATAAATCCCCCCTATGTATAGGAACCACGGAGAACGGTTCCTATAGAGTGCCGGTGGTTGGCCAGTTTCAATCGTGCCCGAGCTCATAATACGGAGATACGGATACGGTGTCGCAGCGTTAGTCAGTGTGTTTCGGTGGAGGACTGACACGCGACACTCGTAAAACCATTGTTGTCGGGTTCAATACCGACGATCGATTTTTTCCCGTTTCTTTTTTTTCTGCCGGTACTATTTCTCCTGTAAGACTGTAACCCATCCGACGTACATAACGAATCGAGGGTTACATCCGAACGTTTTTTGATACGAGCGACCGTAGTCCCCAAGACGAAACAATTTGAAATTGATAATCGATATCGAATCTGCCGACCATAATCGACCCGGTGCCGAAACGGATTCCGGAACGCATATATTCAACCGGGAACAAGCGCGAACGATGAGGGCGCAAGGGGTGGGGGTGAGTCGCCTGGATCAGCCGTGTCACCGATCAAGCGTACAAAAAGTTAATTAAATGTTTTTGTACGTAAAGATGGCTTATTTTCGAGACCTCAAAATTCGGCACCTGAGCCGGGTGCACCTTAAACCCGGTTCGGCCGCGGTAGACACCGGAAGCCACCGTCTTTCGAAATAGATGCGTGATAAACATCGAAAGTGTTTCAACATTCGATTTAACGAGCGGTATATACACGAATAATTATTGGTGTACGTCGTAAACCGAACATTTTTCGTGGTGACGCGATAAAAACGAAAATAAATAAATAATAATCCTTCTTCTGGGCCGCGGGGACGTTTTATTAATAGGACGTTGAAATGGTATTTTCGGTAATAAATCTTTAGCCTACCCTACAAAACCGGACTGACCCTCGCGTCAGACTTGGCCACCACTCGCGAGTCGGCTCGGAGGGAGGAATACCATTTTCAACTACCGAACGTTAATGTGGATAGGTAAAGGTGGGTAAGTGTATTTCCCTACACACGCGACGGAATGAAAACTAAATGGTTGTATAATTTCCGGTCCGATAGGATCGGTTTTTTTTTTTCATAAATTAAAATCCCTTTTATAGAATCTTTGCAGGTTGATTCATTCAACGTAAAATTCACTGAGTGTTTTGCAAAGTATTGATTTTTTTTTTGAAACAATTTGTGATGAACAAACAGCTCTAAAAATGGCGTATTTAGCATGGGTGTTAGTAACGCCGTGTTAGTGTTATATCGTTTTAGAGCTGCTTTCTCAAATTGCCGTTAAAAAGTCAATACTTTGAGAAATAGCGAGTGTTTTATATTAAATGAACCACCATAATATATATATATATATATATATAGTCGAAAAACTGCTATCGTGAAATCATTCGTTTTTCTTTGAGGAAATGGGAATACCAATATTTATTTCATTATTTCTTGTCTAACACGCCCACGCAGCGTAATATCGGGTATTAAGCTATAAAAGCGGGGCGCTTTTAAATAACGAACCGATACGAATAATATTCGGAAAACAGACCGCCAAATATAATATTATGTACGCGAGATCGGGCGGATCACTTTTTTCAATTTCGGTATTTTTTTTTTTTTTTTATAATTTTTATTTTAATTTTTAAATGTTCCTTTTTAGTTTTCGCAAGAAATCAATTCCGAAATCCCGTTTCGTGTACACTGAGCGCTGAATTCAAATCTGATATGCCGAATACTCTAGTACCGTGCACTTCGATCCGATCGAATGAAAATCATTCTAAACTGCCCGTGTGTTTGATAATTAGAAAAACAGAAAAAAAAAAAGGGGGAAAATATACATTTGTCGAATAATTCGACCTACACCTCGGATGTACGTCGTCGTCGTGTTCAGTCGACGGCAACATTAATATTTTCTCGCGTTAAAAAATCAGAAACCCGTCAGATACGTGTACAAATGTCCGAGGTCATAACAATAATACCTCATACCTGCCGATAAAATATGTTTATAGTTCTGGGTTTTAAGGCGCGTCTGCTGGATAGACTCGCAAGAAGTTCTCAATATCGTAACGCACTCGAGGAAGGAAAGTCGGACCACGTGCTCGTACACCTGTCGATTTAAAATATTCGTAACCAGGGCTCGTGACTTGTAGCATATGCATATTTGTTTTAACAAGTCCTAGTAACACCTAAGTAAGTTACAAATTCGTTTCAGATAACCAGGAAGTCAAATACAAAATTGTTACATATTTTTAAATTTTGACGCTATTTTGCTATGTTGATGTTTTTACGGCTATTTGACGCTTATATCGTTATTTCAAAAAAGAAAAATGGGAGCGGGCACTGTTGTAGGTGAAAAGTTGCGAAAGTAGGATACATAAGGTTATTTCATTTATATCTATAAACAACGATAAACCATTAATTGACGAAAGACGATTCCGAGTGCAGTTCGGTAATATATAATTTGAAGTGCCGTAATTTTCTTTGCAATTTTAATTTAAATTTGAATTTAAAACGCTTATTCAAAAAAAGAAAGTCGTCCGATGATTTTGGAAATTCTACCTTTGTTAGGTAAGTCCAATATAAGTATTATTACCAAGTTTCAAGTCTCTAAGTGTGTTTATAACCAAATTACAGCAAAAAAACTACCAAATATTAAAATTCCTTAAAAGCTCAAAAGTTTTGATGATGATACCCGAAGAAAGCAAATCGAAAAGGCAAAAAAAAATAGTATCTTGTGATTTTTCGATTAAATCATTTTTTCTGGTAGAAAACGTCGTCTGTGTTTTTATATAATAATGAAATCTGTGTTGTTTACTCGTGCAACGTGTTTTTACTTGCGAACTTTTTACTTAAAATTTACTTATTTTCGTGCATATTTCAACACTTTTCAGTGCAGATATAAGCGCTTATATGAATGTGTTTAAGAGCGTATCATTGCACACATAACAACTTTTTTTTTTTTTTTAAGCTACAAATCACGAGCCCTGTTCGTAACTTTACGCTCTGCGCACGGCATCGTTCGCCGGGTTACCGTTCGCTTATAGGTTAACTTATAGGTTAAATGCGGTCCGAACGACCGAACGGCGCTTTGTTGCGGCGGAAATGATTGTAAATTAAAAGAAGGCGCGGACGTGCGTTAAGGTTTCGGTCTGGTCGCTATTCTTTTCAGAGTCTATATAATATATTTATGTATACGGAGAAAGTTAACGCGGCCGGGTCGGAAGATTTCGACGTCCGCGGACTGTTGTTTTAACAAAAAGAAACGTACGCGTCAACATTATAATAACCGTTCGTGCGGTAATATAAAACAAAATAGTATTCGACAAGTCGAGTTCGACAGGACGACGGCGGCGACAGCGTCGCCCACGCGGACGGTTTATCGACCGAATAATATTTCGGGCAAAATACACTATATTAGTATAACATTACGTATTCTGTACCCGTCGACATTTTCCGGCCACTCGATATTACGTTCGACCGAATCCGGTGCACCTTGAACGCGGCCGGGAGATCGCTGAATTAAAATGTGTCTTTGAAAAAAATCGTCCCTTTAAATTAGTGGTTCCCAACGTACGGTCCGAGCGGATCACCGGCGGTCCGCGAGGCGTCACCCACGAAACTGAATAAAGTATTTAACGTACACGATATTAATATATCATTAATTTGCGTGTTTAAAATCCCGCGATTCGGCTCGGCGTTATAAGTTCGGCCTGACTTGGAGCTTTTTTTTTCTTATACTGATGTTATATTCTAGGAATATTTTGCGCGTAACCTTTTTTTAGAAAAAAAAAAAAAAAATGCGGGCTTGTACGGGCTTATCGACCCGCGCAAATCGTAGGGGTCCGCGACCCATCGAAAGAACTCCGAGTGGCCCGTAGTGTCAACGAGGCCGGGAACCTGCACTGCTTTTAAACATTGCACGTGCAGTAATTCCGTTTTCAGACTTCAAATAATATTGCACTGCGTAGAACAGTAAACTAAACAGAAGACAAACTCACATCGCCACGGTGCTGTCGGATCGACTTTCAAGCTGATCGTTATTATTTTTAATAATATTGTCAAACAAAATGTATAATTTTTACGGTACATTGTTGTACATAACTACCATAGTAGTACCTCGAAATATTAATTATACGATTAGATATACAATATACATGTACATAACAGTACGACGTGTATGTTATACCGTTCTGGGTAAATGTGATTTTCCTATACATGCGAGGAAACATTGTTCTTCTTGTCTGTTGATTATATTTCGATGAAAAACGGAATGATAATAATACACAGGATACACGGGATGTCTCACGAAGATAATACTCGTTGCCATATCTCGAAAAGAATAAACTTTTTTCGCAATTTTTTTTTTTTTTTTGTTACGATAAAAGAATCAACCAGCAACTTTATCCATGTTATACAGACGCCGTGCCGCCACATAACTGATGTACCGCTATTGTTCCCCGACCCAAAATCACAAGTGAAAAATCTCGTCAACGGACAGACGGAGAAGGCGAGTTTACGGTTCACAATTCCCTACGACCACTCCCGTTGAAAATTCCTGGGCACGCCACCGACCTCGCATGACAATCGTATTATATAGGGTATAACATTGTGGTAGCGCGTTGAAATCCGGCCGTTTTGTAATGTAAAAACGGTAACGCCGTTAAACGGATTAACGGGACGGGCCCGGGGAAATTCGAGTCTGCTGTGCGATTGAAAGAGAGAGAGAGAAAGAGAGAGATAGACAGACAGACAGACAGACAGAGAGAGAGAGAAAGAGAGAGATAGACAGACAGACAGACAGACAGACAGAGAGAGAGAGAGAGAGAGAGAGAGAGCGAGAAATATTTTAACGTCAAACATGTGTGTGCGGGGGCGATCGCCGCCGGCGACGTACGACACTGTACACACCGAACCGACCGCCGCGGGTTACGCAACCGTCCCGATGTTAGGGCGACTGTGCGCACGTATGTAACACGACTGAACCGTTCGATTTTAATCAGACACCGTTAATAACAGTTCACAATATGGTACGCTGTCTCTCCGAACCAAAATAATATGACTATAGAATAAAGGGACTTTTAACTGTCCAGAAAAAAAAAAAAAAATGCGTTTAAACAACTTGGCTGCCATGAAACCCGATTCGGGATCTCGCCAACATTCTCTTCCCCGCCGTGAGTTTTTAGAGCGAACTTTCCAAAAGTCATAGGGCATTTGATTTTGAAACTTAACAATTACTTCAGTGACTCGAAAAAATAGAGTTTCCACGGGATTTTGAATTTTTAGGACGTGAGATCACATATTGTGTCCCGTGGCACTGGGGATTGGTGTTTTAGTTTTGGTGTATAATATGACTATAGAATAAAGGGACTTTTAACTGTCCAGAAAAAAAAAAAAAAAAAAAAAAAAAAATACGTAGCAGTCAATATATTGAGCATATATGCTCTCAAAAAAAAATACACTAAAAAATATTGTTATTATTATTTTAGATTCTGAGTGGAGCGAGGAATGTATCGGTTTAACAATTACGTTTATTTTATTTTTGTTTTTAACTGTTGATCGAAAAACAAATGCTCGCAAACGACAATTTATCGAATAGCACATTTGTTCACAAACAATTTAACGTATTCAGCTGAAAGTAATGCTATATCGTTATATGCGTATGGCGCATTAACAATAATGTTATTATACAGAAAATTAAGAAATATTAAAACAGTTATCAGACTATTTAGAAAATACCCGGTTTGTATGATAATACAGTAAAATACTTCAATATAGTATTAGATCCATTAAAAAACATTTGTATGAATATTGATTAATTTATTTTTTCGAACTGTTAAGCCACACGTCCTTCTGCGTACCATTGTGTTTCCTACCACGTACCAAAGTTTGAGAACCGCTGTATTATAATATAAATCAATACATTCTTCGCTACGCTCAGATTCAAAAAAGGTTTTAATTATGATTTAATTATAGCCTGTAATTAATTATTAATTTTAATTATCAAATGCTTTGGTAATTTTAATGAAAAGGAACGCTTTTCTTTAAGCAACTTGATAGACGATAATATAAGAATGGACTTTTCCCGTTTTAATTCAATTCTCCCGCAGAAATTGGAAGCAGTTCAAATATTATCTTATTTTTTTCTAAAAGAAGAATACTTTGGGGCTTCATTACATAGTAGCACAATAATATAGAATTAAGCGAGTGCCTTCGAGATCGCACCCAACCACCTCTTTTTCGGTCTTTCTCTCTTCCTTTTTCCTCCTACGTTTATATTCATTACAATTCGCACTGCTTTTGATTCCTCTCTCCTCATGGCATACCCAAATCTGCATCCCAGTCATTTTCTCTCACTTTTTTTTTCATCTTATCTACTATCAAAACCACGCCTAAGCTTCCTCTAATATACTCATTCCGTATTTTATAGTTTCTTTCGTCACTCCACTCATCCACCTACTCGTATGCATTCTCATTTCTGCTACACTCATTCTTTGTTTTATTTTTCTGTCACTGACCAAAATCAATTATTATTACTCTTTGTTACCCAGGGGGGAGGGGGATTAATTTATGGGAGATCTCCCATAAATGTAATAAACCCTTCTGAAAAGTGTGTACAAGTGTGAGAACGCTGGAGATACTTGTGTATAACTATTATGACTATTATTAGTGTTATTAACAGCAATCTATTGGTCATGGATTTAATAATTATTAGGGAACAAATAAAATAAAATGATCTACCCTCTGATAAAAAAAAGCCTTGGTACGCCCCTGACATTTGTAACCTAATGCTTATGTGCGTACTCCGGCGGACTATGATATTTAAAATAGTTTCACGAGATGTCATGATATATAATGAAATATTAAATCGCGTGACGTTTCAAACGGATTATATTGTCCTCGGGGTGGTTTTTTTTTACAGTTTCGGCTGCATGGAAAAGACCGGAAAATCGTATCGTCATCGATTTAAAATAATGCATTTTTATAATGTTAAATTTGTTTTTAATGTTAATTATCTATTTGAATATTCGATCGTTTTTACGTAAATACATCGCCTCTGAAATTGTAATATTCCAGTGCATAAATTATAACGACTGCGGAATAAAAGTAGTTTTTCTTTTTTAGGACTTTCCCTGAAGTGTAGTAAAATAAACAGTGAGAATCGGCTCATTATGTTTGTATAACATTTTTTTTAAACGGTTTGACAAAATATCATCTAACCTGAAAATTCAGTCTTTTATATAGGTACCTGGTACACGTAACAAGATTTAATAACATTTCCCGCATTTTTGTGGGAATTATTAGAATTAAAATGATAAGTAGGGTACGGATTTATATGTATTTAAAATGCAAAAATATGTAGATATTTATTTCTTTACTTTTAACCAAATGTGCAATTAAAAGATATGGATAAAAATGTTTTAATTCTTGGTATAAATTTTAAAAAGAGTATATACGTACATATGGTATAAATATAAAATAAAATATTATAAAACATTATAATATATCAAATTATTATAATTAAATTACATACATAGGTGAGACATAGGTAGATCTTCGGTGGTAGCCGAAGGGTTTAGGGATATCTTTAAGATTTAGGGCAACTGGGCTGCCCCTGCAATTTTTGAAAAGCGCCGGTCAACTTAGGCTTACAACTTTTATTAAAAAAAAATTTCTTATGCATTGTTTAAAACAAAATATTATTCTCTATAAGTTTATAATTTTTGTTATTCTATACATACACACATCATATATTTTGTAAATTACTTAATTACATGGCGATGTAAACCTGGCCTATACAATACCAATGTAAATAATATTTCTATAGTTGAATTTAAAGGTACTGAAATTATTTTACATTATTAATTGCAATAAATAGATAATACAGACTTTTTTAAATTATATAAATATTTAATTTGGGGGGAGTCTAATCTCCCCCTATTTAAATTAAAGGTTTTTTCGGTTCATTAAGTGGTGCCGGTTATTAACTAGGCTGTAGCTTTGGATGAAGTCTATTCACACCTATGCACGGAAATGCATCTGTACATTATCCTGTAATAATATCCTTTACTAAGTATTAATCATGCCATACTCATCTAAACATACCGAAATGCCATTTAGATTATTATTTCAGATTATGAAATTTCGTATGACTGCAACGTAGTAAATTTGCGTTCAGAAAAAACGAAGTCGTGTTGTTAGTTTTAATATTAATGTAAATTGACCTATCATCAAACTTAAAGATTTAATGATATTTTACATACTCATATCTCTTCTCAAAATTAAAGTATCGAAAATATAGCGCAAACGATGCACAGATAATATTCATATCTTTCACTTTGATAATAGGTCAATCGACTCTCATACTACAAACTAACAGTCCCAAAGTTATCTCTACTGAACGCAAATTACCTGTGACGTATACGCTTTTAAGACGGAGACAACACACGCGGGTATCACAAATATCGATTTGGAGATTGATAATTATACTTGCAAAATCACAATCCCCTCTCCCGTATTAATTCAAAGAAGTTTAAAATTATTTTTAAAACAAATTGTTGTCACCCCCCCCCCCACACCACCACCTACCCTCCAATGACAAAATCCTGACTATGAGCCTGTCTTACATAATAATTTAGTGTCCACTCCGCTATACAAGCATATAAGTGCAAATGTATATATATACTTTTTTAAAGTACCTATATTATATTGTCTACATACGGTGTCAAATTTCACACGATAATAATATTGCGTTTTATATTCACGTAACCAGGGAGCGTATTTACAGACCCCTATCAGAGTTCGACCTGAGTAAAAACGCAATCGAATCGATTCAGTGAGTTTTACAATACAAAACCTAATTATCGGTCCAAACATTGCAGCTCCAAGAATGTCAGCGAATTACAAGACGTGTAAACTTAAAATCTCGGTCATAATCGATCGAAAACCACGCGGAGAGTCACGTAATCTGCGTGTAACTAACATTCGGGCCGAATTCGGGTAGGGTCTGAAAATACACAGACGGGTAGGCACTTTGGAATAATATAAAAACCGGCATCTCAAAGTTACACTTTATATAAAAATATTGTAAACATATTCCGAAAAATAATTTCACTTAAAACCGTTCCGACCGTGATAATAATAATAGTTTTAAAATCCATTACGTTCCCGCGCTCAATAATAATTGACGTATCCGGTACACGAAACCACGTACTTAAACGCTATATTAACTCACATGAAAAAAAAAAAAAATGTATAGCCACTAAAACACAACAATAATACATCCACTTCGCGCACGTGTCTAAAATAGGTTTTTCGACTATTCTCAACGAGTATTCGGAAAATACTATATTCGAAAAATCTAATTGATTATAATTATTATTATTATTATTGAAGCGGATCTAAAGCATTAATGAAATTGTTTTCATTCACATCCCCTCCCCTCGATTGTACAATATGAACGGTCGGTGTTCGTAACGGTAACAATATTATTATATAGTTACAGTTGAAACACACGAGTGAAAGAAACAAAAATCAATATAGCATATAGAGCACCTATGTTCTACCAGCCTCGTTTATTTCCTGCGCGCAATATCCGTTGTCGAAAAAACAGATACTCGAGGAAAGTGTTTCTTTATTCGCTTTCGACATAGTTATAACAGTACAAAGTTTTACCGGGGAAAAAAAAAAGTTATAAAAATGCGATAACGTCGCCGTTGATCCTGCACAGTGAAAATAACGAACGCACGACTATAATATACGGACGATAAAACGCGGTTTTTTGTTTTTTTTGGAAATCGCCATACTGTACCCATACACGGTGTAACAGTTCTCGATTGTATTACGAGAAAATTTCGACGCTACGTGGATACAATAATAGGCACTGTAATAACATCGTGTATAGGTAATACACGTAATAATACGTACCGACGGATAATAATTTGAATTTTTATTGTTTTACGATTTGTGCGCGCGATCGCGTCACCCGGCTATGATAATTCATAGCCGGGGGGGGGGAGAGGGGAATAGGTGAAGGGGGCGGGGGAAGAGTAGGATAGGTGAAGAGAGGGGGAGGAATATCGTCGTGACTGTGCCCCGGCTGTTTTCGTACGTGAAGGTACCGCGGTGTAAATCTTCCGAACAAAGGGCGATTGTATTGGCCGCGGCGACCGGGGCGGGGTGACTTATTGTACTTGTTTACACCGGATACTCGCGCGGTACACACGGCGGCGAATCCGTCTGTAACAACCGACGGTGCAGTGTAACTACTACGGTGTAACGACGATCGGTATAATATTACCTATATTTTTCCGGCCGATAACATAATAACGATATTATTGTCATCGCAATATTATTGTTAAATACTCACTTATTTCGCCGTCGTCGCGGACGATATCATCGATTGGCGGCGCACTTCAGCGCTGTACAATAACATTACAGCAATTTTATATAGCAATTTTAATATTGTTAAGCTTCGGACCGTGACTTCGCGACCGCGTACAACCGCAAACGCTATCACCGCGGGACCCGAACGCGAACGATGATAACGTGAAATTGCTAATCCCGGAAGTCCGGACTCTCGTACGCGGTCGGGATGACTGCAACTGCTGCCGGCGCTATAATACGCGGAGGCGCTCGCGTCGCCCCGAGCGCCGCCGGGCGATCGATAACGCGCGCTGCACGGCTTCGACCCCATTGGCCGTTGGGTTTCGGCGGCAATTTCGAACGCTCTGGTACGCGATCGTTTCCCGGACACCGTCGCCGGCGGTCTCTACGACTTGACGGGATGCATCGCACAAGCATAGGCGCTTAATAACGGAGGGGAGGGGGCGATGAGGGCAATCGCCCACCCATTCACCAATTAATTTGTGTAGGTATTTTCTGTATATATATAAATTTAATACCACTAAAAAAGCGTTTTCAGACACAAAAATAAAAATAAAAACACTTCATGGTCAGATAAATAGGGTAGAATATAACCTTGTGTATAATAATTTTAGTGTCGCCTCCCCCTCCATAAAACCAAGTCAAATACGCCACTGATGTTGGTGCTAGAGGGACTTAAACACACCCGCGCTCAGAACGAGCTCTCCCCGAAAATCCTGGCCGTCGGTTTTAACATTTAACGTTTGGTTTTAACACAGTTTTTTCCGATTCGTTTCTGTAGCGTTTATGTTTTGAATTATAAGTTATTTCAAGGCAGTTGTAGGTTTTTTTTATTTCATTTCGCTATAATATACCTACGTCGTCACGACACGAATAGAGTATTTCGAAAAAGTCAAAACTTACAGAAATAGTCCTTTGTGGTCTGTTAACAGGTTTAGCATCCCCTGACATTTAGATCTAGTTGTACATATGCCCTGGTGTCAACTACTAGTTGCTCGTATCTTGAAAGATTATGACGCTTCATTGAAATAAGGAGCCCGTTGTCAATGTTCCTGCCGGCTCCCAAAATACGTAGCCATCAGCGATTATTACTAATTTTGATATTGCATTATCGTCTAGGCGCACATTTAAATCAATTACCTAATAGTTTATAAAACGAATTAACTTGTACCTGATTATCAATGCGTCATTTCAACATGTCATAAAATAGTAAAGTAGATAAGATAACATAGTTTAGTTGGCGATGACGTGCGTTTTGCGTGATGCATAATATTCACAATATAATATGGGACAAGCGGAAATACGACGAATCGTTGAGGATTGAACGCGATATTTTTCACACGGTTTTTATATTTTTCCATGATCGTTTACTTTTGTATGTGTTGCGTGCCATTATTTTATCGAATCCCGCGAGATGTTAATAACCTACCGGAAATTGCGTCCGATGTTAAATTTGAAATTATACTATATTATAGGTTTTTTTTTTTTAATCTAATCGTTTTTTCGTTGGTATAAAAATAAGCTACGATGGGTATATTTTTGTTCCTAGGCGTATAATATATATGCATATGTATACAAACGTTGAAATGCGCGCGTATTCATATTATATACAAAACGTGTGTGGTATCGCACTTAGGCCAGTTTTCGTTAAAGAAAAAAAAAATAAACAATTCGTAATGTTTTTATCCTTTATATGCGTTTAATATTAATTTTCATTTATTAAATTTTACCCGTTTTCGGACGTCAGGTCATAGACCATTTCACACCACTATGCAAATGTTAAACGTTAAACAAAGAACAAAAACACAGCGTAGGATAAATATCCAAAATATCCAGAAGAATGATATGAGTGAAAATGTGTATATATAATAGTATGCGTTTAATATTAAAAAAGTCAATAATCACGCGGGATCGTAGCGTTATCCTGGACCAGTGCGACGACTGAAGTGATAAATACTAAAATATAATATAACGGTCAAGAATATTTTTCAGAAAAATGTTATGACGTCCAATTTGTGTGTGTTTTATTCGACCGTTTATTGTTCAGCGATAACGAGTGGCGTTATCCAAAGCAATTTGCCTACTTCTGCTATAGTCCTGCTAATTCACATTTGACGTATCTATATTTTATTATTGAAACGCACGAATACATCTGATGGCTGTACGCGTAATATTATTGTACATGTTTTTAAAATAATTAGCATTAATCTGAAAAAAAAATTACATTATATAGACGTGCCGAAATATTTTTAATACTTCCCACCGCAAAATGTTCATATTTTGTAAAATTATTATGTATACAGTGTTCACTTCGACATTACCAAAAATGTTTTCATTATAATAATTTTTATAGTTTGTTTTTTATACCACAATTTCGGACTTACCTACTTACGAAAAATGTAATTAAAAAAACAAAAATTAAATTCGTCCCACAGTTTGTGTTCTAAAAATATTTGTTCGTGTTCAGGTGATGTAACCATAATATTGTATACCTAGTCGGAACACAACACACCCCTTTGGATACGCCTTTGATAAATTTATTGTTATATACGCTACGTTGACTTTTTATAGAGATCATATTTTGCAATATTTGATTACCTAGGTATAAAATTAATTAAAAAGGAGTCGTATTTAAGTTCCTTAGGACAAGCTAGGAAAAAATTGCATAATGTATGTTCTTTTTTTAACTGACATTTTTTTGCATGTGTCTATGTGTGTGTTGGGTAAAAAAAAACAATGGCCTTCTACAATAACTGTTTCGTAGTATACAATTGGAAAATTCTCTACGTAGGTGCTAATTTAAAAAATGTCGATTCGTACATTTTCATATTTATTTTTCTTTAATATAATTATTGTAATGTAAAATATAGTTAGCAAAAAAAAGTTACTTGTAATCAGTGTTGAACCCAGACAATTTTTCTGGTATCACTAAAATTATGGAAATTACATTTTTTTTTTTGCTTATCTTAGATTTTAATGAATTATTAATTTATCCACATTTAATAGAGGGGAGGGGGTGGCAAACAAAATTCCAGGAAGGGTTATCGCCCCCCTGTCATATACCTAGACTTAAGACTGCTTATAACAGTCATACTTCGATTACCGTGCATATATCGCGTGAAAAATAACCTAAATATTTAAAATTTATAAATTAGATTTACGTAATATATACGTAATAAATTGTATTACACCGAGTATACATTAACCGTTACGAACAGTCGGCGTCTATTTTTGCGACTCAAAAAAAAAAAAAAAAAAAATGTGGTAAGTAGATATATGTAAGGAACGCACGTGTCACCCCTTCGGCTTTAATAGCCATCACGAAACCAAAAATAAATGTCCGCTCGTGGATGGCGCGTTTAAATATTGCTATTATATCACCCGAGAAGAATGTCAACAGAAATAATCCTTTTTATTATTATTATCTAATCCCGTTTCATAACTTAACGGTAATAAATAATAATTGTTCGGTACTCGGAATTGTATAAATTGTATTTTTAATACATTAATGATAATGATAATTATTAAACGATTAATAATTAATTTTAAAATTAGATTTTTAAAATGCTATTGCGAGAAAGAGCATTTAAATCGAGTAAAAAAAAAAAAAAAAAACGAGAGCTGATGTTAATGGCTGCGCCAATGTTATAAAGGACAAGTCTGAAAGAAGGGATACGTACAGTTATTGAATTTACACCTGTAAGCGATTAGGAGAGAAGTTCTGTTAAATATTTTTTGAAAGGCCGTACTATTTACGATTTTCGTCAAAATTTAATATTAAAACTCCTACAAAAAAATACTACATAACCCTCGACTTTTGCTTTTCATCCACTATGTAAATTTAAAATGAACCTCTTATTAAATTTTCAAACATTTCTGTTTAGTCTAACAATTATTTTATTAACAAAAAAATTATTTAAAAACTCGCAAAATTAAAATATCTATAAATAGCTCAAAAATGAATCAAATATTTTGAACATTTTACCACGTCGACAAAAAGAAAATATAAAACTTCTCTCGTAATTTCAAGTCCCAACGAGAGTTTTCAACTGAATTACAACAAAATTAAAAATAATAAAAGCATTATTTTCATAAATTTTCCTGTTCTTTCTATGTGTTTTTCGGTTTTGCTAAATTATTAAAAAAATTACTCGACACTTAAAACAAAACTTCTTTTTTCACCAACTAGACTAAAAATTCAACAAAAACTATCTCTAGTTGGTGTTTTTGTCGGAGCAATATTTCTAGAAGAAAACATATAATTTGCAAACGTTAAAAACAATGAAATTGGTAACGCCGCGGCACACCGTAAATATTTGCCGTTTTACACATAATTTTGTTTGTGGCTTTTCTCAGTTATTAATAAAACCCCTTTGAAATCAAAAAATGACACTTGATACATCGGAGCAAAATTTCTGGTAGTTTTTTACAGACACGCGTACGAGAAAAAAAAATACGAAAACACACATTGTAGTAAAACTAATAATAGATCCTTCGCTCCGCTCCTAATCTAAACACCATACATTATAGTAAAACCAATAGATTTCTTTAATCCTTATATAAAAACAAATAAATAAACGTCATTTCCCTAACATAATATTGCTTACTTCTAAAAATATGTAAAATTAGGTTGGAAGTCGGGTAACCATTTTTTTACTATTTCGCTTATCGTTTGAAACGAGGCTTTCAACGCAATGACGGACTAAACCACAATTTTTTCACGTTTCTGATATTATAATAGCAACCATACGCAATTTATTAACGGACTAAGCTACAATATGTGTCGTAGCGTTGTTTTTTTTTTTTTACGTAATTTTAATTTTAAGCGAGATAATAAAAACATTTCTAAATTGTGATTTTTTACACTCATAACTCGCTTAAAAATTAAAATTGCTGAAAAAATCCGACTGCATGACACAGATAATGCTTTTATCTTTAAGTTTAATAATAGTTATAGTTTAATAATAATTATTCAATATCTTTTTCTTCTCTTTCTTCACCTTCATCCCAACTATTTGGAGTCGCCATCATCATTCAAAACTTCCATTTGATTCGATCTCCCACTTCGCATACACTAGCTGTCCTTGTATCATTCTAAATTGTATTTAACCCCCTCTTTTAGATTCTGAGTGGAGTGAGGAATGTATTAGTTTTACAATGATGTTTATTTTATTTATTTTTTTCTGTGGACAACTTGTATACCAGCAA